AGTGATCGCGGCGTTGCTCGCGGAGTGCGTGTGGGGCGCGTGTGCGTAGCCCGAGTTGAAGACGACGTGGACATTGGACTATGATGCGTTCGAGCGTGTCGACGTGTTGCCCTTCGGCGCGGGCTGGGAGGAGGGCGAAGAGGGCGGCAAACCAAGGTGGCAGGTGCGCGGCGGACTTGATGAGGAAGGTGATCATGAGCGGGCCCGCGACAAACGCTCCGGGACTTTGTGTCGTCAGGGATAAGGTACCGCGCCTGGGGTGAGCTGGGTGTAAGGTGTTGACCGTGGTGCCATGGCTGACGATTGGGTCGAGACAGAAGCACCCGTCGCGCTCGCCACACATGAGTTGATGACCACGTCGCGCCTGATCTTCACGCCCAGCATCCGGTATTAGATAACCTCGGGAACGTGGACGTCGTAACCAAACGGCGTCGATGGAGCATGCAGGCCACGTGCTAGACGCGGGGGATGTGGACTCCGACAGACGATGGTGTGAGCTGGCAAAGAGGAGCTCGGGCTGTACGGCGGCGCACCCGCGTGCCTAGGAACGGGACGAGGAATGGGCTTCGGCGGCGAAGTAGCTCCGTTTTGTTAGTGGATGTGGATGTTGGCGCGGACGCGGTGTTGTAGGGGGTGACATGAATTATGGCACGGATAATGGGAGGATGTACGAAGAGACGACAGCCATGGGGAGGCGGAAGGAACGAAGCTAGGAGAGTGATGGCAGTCACAGTCGAAGTGCGGAATATTTAGCGCACGGACTACACGCGCGCTTCTCGTTCTCGAGTGTATCACAGACTCAGTTGAGTCAGTAGCGCCCATGGCAACGCGCGCGGCGCGACGCGCGTCCCCACATGTGCCAGCCTCCTCCACCACCTCCACCTTGTCAAACTCCCCATCTCCTAGCGGCGTTGTTGTTCTCCGCCGCGCACTTCTCAGACCTCCATCCTGCCACCTCACCGGCCATGCCCCAGATCACGTATTTCTTCGCCGCCGCGCGCTGCCGTGGATTCGTCTGGGTTGCGTACGACGTCGACCACGACCACGACAACCTATGAGACGTCAACGACGATGAGACTCGACCGGCTCCTCCCTCAGCTTTTACGGTCCCAATACGTGGACGTCCCTTTGCAACTCAACCCCACCGTCGAGGGCCCATGGTCACTCCTCATCTCTCCGCGGTGACACCGCACGTGAGTCCAGCACATTTGACATCCGGGTTCCGGGTGCACGATCTCACGAACAGGTCGACAACACACATCTACACGGAGCCCAAGATCCCCGATGCTGTCAGCCTGTGCAACTTTGGCATCCAGGTGGTGAGTGTCTCACTCTTATGATCGCATGGACTCGCGGTGCGGGCGAGAGGAGTGACACCAACAACTGGTCGTACTCCTTGAGCCACTTCTCTGCCAGATCGGTCTCGCTTGCGCTATCGTCGACGCCTACCTCCTCGCTCGAGGTTAACACGTCTTGAGCGCGGCGGTTCACCACCTCCCATCCTCCACGTCAGAATCCGCGAGTGCCCCCGCCGCGATTTCCCGCCCGTGCCCCTGCTCACCCGCTGCTCTTCTAGGAACTACATTGTCTCTGTCGGCGAGTGCGCACTTGTACCACCGCGGCGTTTGGAGGGCGCAGCCAGCAGCGCGTGTCCACTTTCGTCTGGCGGCCATTTCGTGCCCACACGGGCAAGACTTGCTCTGGATCGAAGAGCGCAAGGGACGGATCAAGGTGCGACGGTTACGGTGCATCCTTTTGTCGGCTTCCGTCATGATCGAGGATGACGAAGAACACGAGCCGGACGATGCGCACTCGTGTGCGGCGAGCCCGACGATCCTGGACATGGACATCTGTCGCCGGTGAGGTAGCGTACTTTCCTCCTTCCGTTCTCCTTTACTGACCCGTTTTTCCCCGGGCGTGCTCTGAGCCCTCCCTCATCCTTTCCTCCTCCTTCGCTGCCTCGCCTCGGCTTTTCTCTCATCTTCTTTCCTCGCCCGTCGTCCCCCCGCGCTCATGCGCACACAATCAGACCCCCGCGCGATACACGTGGGACTGGCGCGCGTACGCGCTCCCTGGTCGTGTCCGCCCCGGAACAGCCTCCTGGTCGTCGTCCAGGTCCCTCCAGCTTGCGGCTGCAGCATGAGTGCCAGCGTCTCGCGCGTACGTCGTCGGCGGGTGCACGGTCGTTGGTACCTGGCGGCATGCGACCGTGAGCAGGCCCAAGGTCCCGCTAGTCGAGGGCATCTTCGTCGTCTCTCGCGGCGATGGCGGGCGTGAGTGCTCGTCTGTGGCTCCCGGCGCAAGCCGCGTGCATATCGCATTCGCGCGCGCGTCCAACTGGTAATCCCTCGCGACGGAGCTCTCAGCAACTGCTGTGCGCTTTTTCGCAGGTCTAGCAGGCCCCGATACCGTTTACACCGCGTCGTCATTGCTCGTTGATAGGTACATCTATGTCGCTGTTGCTAAATACTGGTCTCGTCTGCATCTCAGATATCCAATCAATGTTCATTTTTGCCCCATATGTTATGTGTGATGAGTGCTACTGCTCGATATCCAGTGCTTGAAGCTGTGATTTACGGGCATGAATGAGACTAAGTGCATCTGGTGAGGGCCTGCTCTCGCAACTAAATTTTCCTTCTCCGTGTAATGGTTTCTCATTAGCAGAGGGGTAAGCGAAAAACAATACTTGTGCATAACACCATAATCGAGCTCATTATCCCTCACAAGCCTCAGTAACATCTCATTATGGATTTGGGTTTTTCCTGATGTCTCCTGATTGTCGCGGCGATGGCATGGCCTGCCTGCGCAAAGTTTATGATAAATACCCGTAACTGTCTTCCAGTTCTCGGAAGATTTATACAGTCTAACGACCCCATTTCATTCTAAGGATATTGGCTCGGCAATGCAGCGACACCTTGATCACTTGGGAGGGAGGTGTCCGTATGTCGTCTATTTATCATGCCGTCACGGTATTATCTTACGCATCCTTGATACAGCGCCTTACACTCTGGTAACGTCTTCGCATCACTAATCGGGTTCCTTCGTACTAACGGACACGCCACCATGCTCGCATCTAGCTGTGGGTTCTCGAATCATTGCTTTTCGGACGAATTATTGACCGTTTCCCATTCAGTATCGGTCATCCCCTGCACTTTTTCTGCTGGAGTTCCCCGGAATTAAAGACCACTCATTCTTATGGCATGTTAACTTTGAAGCTGGTCAGTGTCGTATCGCGTTGTTCGGACGGCTGTCTGACTAGTTCGCAATTAGGAAGCCTCGCTACTCTCACTCTGGATGATGCTGTCGGGGATAGTACGCAGACGGGCGAGTTCACCATTCTCCCCAGCAGTAAGTTCATTATTTGAGGAGCTCTTGCCGCATCTTATGACATAATCCTAGGCAACAGCAGCTGCGTGTAGCGACTCTGTCGTGCCTAGAGCGTGTAGTTTACTTTCGAGAACGGACAGACCAGTATATTCAATGCGGCTATCGACATGCAGTCTACATGCCAGTTACGCTGAACCGTACAGTACCGACTATACGATCTGAAAGCATTGGTCAAAGGGTGTTTCGAAAGCGTAAAAAAGGGATGGTCCGGTGCACGCCCCTCTTACTCGTCAAGCTGCCACCCGCAGCTACGCTACTAAGTAATCCCACTTCTAAGGCTAGTTGCGGGAATACTATACTGGACGGACACAGTGCCCCCGCACGAATGCAGAAGAGTCCCTTGACACGTCCCTGGAGCGGTCTGGCGATCTCGACATTGAGATGCGACAACTTGCTCCAGCAGTGCTGCCCTTGAGGAGACGGCCACAATGTCTGTGACCATGTCCAGGAGGCCAGGCTTCAATGCTGCGAAGAACCGATGACGTACCCCCACTAGTGGGCGTGCGCCGTCGGAACAACAGCGGTGTTAGCAAGCACCAATTCCAATGTAGACTGCCTAAGCGGTCTACTAATGGAGCCACAGCAGTCTTGCGGGAACGCGCGCAACATCGCGCAGCGCGGACTGCCGTGTGATTGGGGCCGCCGCAGGCAAGCGTTCCGGGAGAGCTCAAAGCTGTCCCGCCCGACATTCCGCTCGGAGAACGGGTCGAGGACGAGCGATGGGGCGTGCAGTGTATGGAGAGGCGCGGGAACGACGCGTGATCGGAGAGAAGAACATACCGAGGAGGGCTCCGAGTTCTCCAACCAGACCTATACGTCGGCATTAGTTGGTTCAGCGAGCCGAAAGACTACGACTGGGGCCCGACACGGTTAGGAATGCGCCTCGTGCTCATGGCATAGTAGCTTGTGCCCAAGCTGTATGCGCGACGTTCGCCAATCGTCTGTAGCTTGCGCCGATCGGAACAAGGACCACAAGCATTGATTTCGACGCGGAGCGGCGCCGTCGACAAAGCTCGAGGGTCCTCCAGACAGGAGCAACAACGTGCTCAGATCAAACCGATCATAGCTACCCTCAACTGAGCGAGGCGCGAAGGCGACGGCGTCGGTTGAACGTTGGAGGCACCTGTGGGCCGCCCCGGGAAACTCCACCAAATGTGTGTGCATGTACCCCTTGGAGTTGTCGAGCACAGAGCCCACAACACCGCACTAGCTACATGGTGCATCCGATAAGAGGGCCAAATATCTCGTAGGCTGAGGGCGCAACGCGCCATGTGTACGGAATTTATGTAACTGGTATGACTCACATGTTCGCCTACGTGTGTTGAGCTTGGTCTTGGAGCACCCCCAAGAACGACAGAGGCGGAATATGAGGGGTTTGAAAGTGACCGAGATTGCGGGCGGTTGATCGTTGATAATGAGACCTAGGGGTCCGTGCGCACTGTCGCACGCAGAATATGACGCTGCGGTATCGTGGGTCACGCAGACTTCTGCGCTGGACACCGTGTTAGCGGCCGGCGCGTTTACGTAAGTCAGGAAGTCCCTTGCCTATTGGAACGAACTTTGGCGCAACCGGAAACAGTACTTTCTCTCTAGAGATTGTACGGTGTGAGAGCCTGGAAAACGGCGAAGATGATATGTGGATCTGTCATGAACACTGTCTCAAACGCGGTAGTGCTTACGCCAAGGCAGAGCTAACATAAGCGCGGCGCTGGAAACCGACCGACTCGGGACGATGGCGAAGCATGAGGCATGAGGCATAAGTGAGATGTTTGGACAGGAGGGAGAGGAGCATTAAGGAGTCAGACGTTGCACGCGTCGAAAAGTAGTCTTGCCAAATGAAACATTCGACGCCGAAGCAAACCAACACTGCAAACCAATCGAACTGCGAGTTTTACGGAACTAAAGGGAGACAGGATAGTCTAAAACGTACTGCGATGCCCTTCGCTCGCGTCCTACGCGACATCGAGAAGCTCTACCCGCCGCCCCGTCAACTTATTCCGCACTCCGCTCTTGCTCCACCTCCCACGTCCAACCCTTCGACGTGATACGGGAAACCAAAAGGACTCACCCGATCCCAACAACCCTCAGTCCTGTGTGACCCGTCGCGGATGATGTCATTGAAGGTGTCTTCAGCAACGCGGTGGCAACGATAGGGAACTTCTGGCGACGTGTCGATCCATGTGGAGATTGGACGAGGCGCCACAAATCGCCGACAGAACGAATGAGACCAGTTACCAGAGACAGAGAGGTAGAGCTAGAAGCATAGCATCTTTTTGCCGATGCTTCAACAGAGCGTAGCGTTGATGAATGTCGATGGACGGAGGCCTGGGGACATAACTTGAGGCGGCGGTGTTGTGGATGGATGTCGTCGCGTCGGCCCCAAAGGATGTGCACCAGGTGGGGGATGATGGCCAGGACTCAGGCAGCCGGGTACCGAGGTGGTGACAATGAGAAGGAGGCTGATTTTCCGATCAAATTTGCAATGCGAGTCGCTGGCGGTGTCCGGACTCCAGGCACGAGACTCCAAGCGCCCGTCGCTGCCTTGCTGTTCATCCGCCACGACGACGACCCAGGTGTATGTTTGAAGGTTCCGAGTCGACCGCATGTTTAACGGCGATGAAGCCTATTTCTGAATATTCAACAGTCCCTATTTGAATTTCAGACGGTGCCGTCCCCGTGATGGAAAAGTTCATTTACAGGCCGGTCAACGCAACTATCTTGCCAGAAGTACTTTTAGTGTATCGTTGTGCACGATGGTGTTGTGAGGGTAAACTCTGTGCTCGCAATGGGAGTACTGTGAGTGAGATATGTCACACCTAATCGCTTTTATGAGTACTGACCGGTTCTATCGCTTAGCGCAACCTTGGTGGCTTCTCTGCAGAACCTGGTGCCGCTGATATCCGAAAGCGCGAGAAGAGAGGGAACGTAGATGTCGTTCACGGTGGGCTAGTAAGTGATCGCAATCCGAAGCGCCATTTGCAGCTCACGGACGCATCGAGTTAGCGCCAGGGATGGAGACGCGCGCTCGTCCCGCGCGCCCACACAACGCGGCAGCCGATGCCAACTTGCCTCGCACCTCCTTCTTCCAACGTCTCTCCTCCTACCACCGGCGACGACTACTTCCCTCGACGTCCACACAGCGCGATCAATCCCTCACCCTCTACCACCGCTCTCGTTCCGCACGACTTAAAGACGGACTCACCCGATGTCCCAACCGCGCCCGGGCCCGTGCAGGGACTTCGCTGCCGGGAACTGTCGATACGGCAATCGGTGCAGGTACTCGCATGATCGCGGGGGATCCAACGCATCTTCGCGCGGAGGAAACACGAGAGGATCTCCTTCAACACCCACCCGTGGCCGATCCCGCGGCCGCGGCCACCCCCAGGCCTCTCCAAGCCCCCGACAACCCCGACCCAAGGGCATACCTCATAACGTGTGCGATTTCTACTGGCAGAGCGGGGCCTGTGCGAGGGGCTTTGAGTGCCAGTTCCGGCACGAGAAGGGGACGGGGGCGGCGAAGATGGGCGTTCAGGACGGGGCGGACGGGGAGCGTGCTGCGGTAGACGGCAACGACGACGCGCCGCTCGACTTCTTCTCGCCCGAGGGCCTTGCCGTTGGCGCCGGGTCCGTGCACGAGCAAGAGCACAAGCTGAACCCCAGCGAGGTTCACAACTACCTGCACGAGTATCTCCGCGACCACTATGTTTTCTCCTCCGTGACCAAGGTCCAGGCGTTTGTGCGTATCTTGGCCAGCGTCAACGACCGCAACAAGTCATGGGTGAGCCCTCGCTTCTGCCTGCCCATGATTGCTCTCATGCTCACGCGGTCTTTCAGAACACTGACAGTGCACAAGAGTTTCTTCAATTTGTCGTGACTGTACGTACCATTAGGGCCTACGTCTGTGTCGGGCCTAATCGATCGCCAGGGAAACACTCTCCACAGGATCGGAGATGTCCTTCGCTTCCCGCAGGTCGGATCCTCCGTAGGGTACCCTGCCGGGACGCGTCTCTCTTTTCAGCGCGGATACTTCCCGCTGTTTCAGTTCTTCGCCTCCGATCTCGTGCTTAAGTCTACCCTTCACCAGAACATCAAGTGAGTATATTCGTCTTTGCATGAAGTGGCGACAGAAAAGCTCACCTAGCCATGCACTAGTTCCTTGTACTCGCTCATCGTCAACAACCACGATGCAATCTTCGGGACGTTGCGACAATGCATTTCCGAAATGATAGACGTTTATTCGTGGAAGGACCAGTCACCTGGTCTCCCAGCGTCCCAGCAAACCAGTCTAGACGGGCTCACGGTTTTCCGAGTGCTCTCTACTGTTCTCTTGCAGTGAGTGCTTAGATTCCGTGTAGCTTGATTGCGATCTGACGCGTTTGGGTAGGTACTTCCAGCGATTCAGAGTCTCGATCCGCGATCATGACAATACTCCCTCCTTCGTGCAAGACTTTGCTCGTTGGTTCGACATCTGGGCCAAGGACGTCTCTTCCCCTCAGCCTCGATACACGGACCCGATCGCTTCCGCGGACTCCAGAACGAGGAACCTCACCATAGATCACATCCAGGAAGATATCCTCCGTCTCGGTGCCATCGTCGAGCGTGAGAGTGGCGTTGTGATAAAGCTTCAAATCGGACCACCCGCGTCTTCCATGACTGCCGCGCAGAAGAGTCAGGCCCGCATCGCGCAGCTCGCGCAGACATACGATCCCCCAGGCGAACTCCGTCCCGATGGGCCCCGGCACGACAACGATCACCAGTTCATCCGTGACATCTCAATCGCGCCCACGCACGACGAGATCTTCGCTCCCATTGGGCCATATCTCCCTGTCTTTAGCAGGGATGCGCCCCACCACCTTCCTGCGAACTCTATGGAACGTCATCTCGACATCCAGTTCCGGCTTCTTCGCGAGGAGCTCATGTATGAGTTCATAATATGTGGTCTTATCGTTTTCTGACCAGCGACGCCTTGCAGCTCCACTACTCGTGCGTCCTTGACCGTCATCCATGAAGACCTCGACCGCATCTGGGACCTGAACCGCGACCGACGCTACAAGACCCAGCTCGAGAAACTCCTCACCAGCAAAGGCGGCGCCTACCGCACATCCGGCCACGACTCCGTCTACTTCCAGGTCTACACCGGCGTCGAGTTCGTCCAGCAGCCGCCCGAGGCGCAGCGCCGCGGCATCGTCGTCACCATCTCACTCGACACGCCTCCCGCCGGCGCCGCGCGGGACAAGAACGCCTCCAAACGGTTCGAGTTCTGGGACCGCAGCCGACGCCTGCAGGGCGCGACCCTCGTCGCGCTCGTCACGACGCGGCGCGGCGAGGCGCGCGTCCACCTGGGCGTCGTCGCCTCGTACGGGCGCGACATCGCCGAGTCCGCGCGGCGGTCCGCGGAGCGGATCCAGGTCAAGGTGACGTTCTTCGAGGCCGACGTCGAGATGATGGCGCTCCGCGGCGAGCAGCTGTGCGCCGAGGGCGGCAAGCTCAGCAAGTTCGCGGTGCTCGTCGACACGGGCGTCATGTTCGACGCGGTGCGCCCGTTCCTGGAGAAGCTGAAGACGACGGAGCCGACGGAGATCCCGTTCGGGCGGTACATCGCCACGGGGACGGGGCTCCACGGCGTAGAGGTGCACTCGCCCAAGTACGCGCTCGCGCCGGCGTTCAAGTTCCGGCTGCAGTGTGTGGCGAAGGAGGGCGCGACGATCTCGGACCTGGACGTCAACATTCCGGAGGCGGTCGAGCGGGCGCGGGACCAGTTGAAGCGGTTGAGTGTCCTGGATCCCAGTCAAGCCGAGGCTGTCGTTGATACCCTCGTCAAGGAGATCTCCTTGATCCAAGGGTGTGTTATTTCTTGACATTTCGTTCATGTTGTTGATGCCTTTTTCCCCCAGACCGCCAGGGACCGGAAAGGTGCGTTAGCTGTGCCTTGTTGTGCACTAAATTGTCACTTATCACCTCCACAGAGTTACACTGCGAAGGAAATCATCCGCATACTCGTTGCGAGCCAGATCCGCCCCATCGGTGAGTTCGTTTATACGAAATATGGCGCATATACCCACAAATCTCTTGCAGTTCTCATAGCATTCACGAACCACGCGCTTGACCACATGGTCGAGTCAGTTCTCGACGGCAAGATCACGGACAAGGTCATCCGTCTCGGCACCCGTTCCTCCAACGAGCGTATCGCCGAGTACACACTCGACAAGATGGAGCGGATGGTCAACGCTCCAACGCTCGACAGGTCTATCAAGAAGCAGTATCGTGTGATGAAGGAGCTTGAAGAGCGCATGACCGAGACGATGACCGAGATCCGGCTCCCCCGACTCCAGTGGCACAAGATCGAAGAATACCTCGACATCAAGTACCCGGATCACGTGGAGTGGTTGCGCACCCCGCCGGCCTGGATCTCGGATCTCTACGCCCTTCATAGCGCAGACGAGGCTGAAGGGGGCGAGTGGGAGACCGCGAAAGGGAAGAACGCGAAGAAGACGGCCACGACCGACGATGCCGTCGCCCACACCTTGTACGGATTCTGGCGGAGCTCCGGCGATATTGCCTTCCTCTCTCAGCCTCCACCACCGGCCACGAAGCAGTCAAAGAAGGGCAAGGGGCGCGCGGACGACCCCGTTCAAGACATCCCGCTCCTGCAGAACCCTCCCGCGTTCTTCGCATCACTTGGCTTCCCGACACTTCCTCCCATTCCGAGCATGAACCGTGGTATCGATGCATTGGAGGAGACCGGGAACGTGTGGTCGATGTCTCAGCAGGAGCGTCTGGCGCTCACGCAGAAGTGGGAGAGGGACATTCGCCTCATGGCGTACCGCACGAAGAACGACATGTACAAGCGTGTCAAGGCGGAGTACGAAGCCGCGTGCAAACAGTACGAACAGATGCGCGACGAGGTGAGGAATTCGCTTTACACATACTTCCGAAGTCGACTGAGTGCTTTTCCAGGTTCGGCGTCGGATCCTCAGCCAGACCGACCTTATTGCGTGTACGACTACTGGTACGTCTACGTGTGATCTAGTCAGAATTTGGCTGATTTAACCCGATCATCGCAGGAGCTGCCACGCTCACCTCGCTGCTTGAGGTGAGTTTCTCTTCTATCTGTGTGGCGAAAGCCATTGACTGGCTTGTAGAGCATCTCTCCAAGAGTTCTCATGGTCGAGGAGGCTGGTCAGGTGCTGGAAGCGCACATTTTGGCGTCCCTCGTCTCTTCGGGTGAGCTATAATCACCATGTGAACTCAATGCAACTGACCGAGCGGCTTTGCAACAGTGCACCATCTGATCTGTATCGGTGATCCTCAGCAACTTCGTCCCAACCTCGCCAACTATAGTACGTATACCGTGCTGGCCTTCCAGTTTGCGTTTACTCACTAACTTCGCCTTTAAGCCCTCTCTATGGACAGCAGGCAGGGTAAAGAGCTGTACAAGTTCGACCGATCGTTGATGGAGCGTTTGCACGACGAGCAGTACCCGATGTCGCAGATCAACGTCCAACGGCGCATGCGCCCCGCGATCTCCCACTTCATTCGGTCTGTTATCATTATTTCGGGAGCGGACTCTTCTGACCAATCAACTCAGAGAAATACTATACCCTAAGCTCGAGGACAACGAGATCGTCCACGGATATCCTCACGTGCAAGGGATGCAGAAGGACGTTTTCTTCTTCAACCATCTGAACAAGGAGAACGGAACCGAGGACTCTGTCTCCAAGTACAACAGCTTCGAAGTGAGCCAAATTCATGCCGTGTTTTCGTGAAGCTTACGTCCTGTTACCAGGTGGAGATGATCAGAGAGCTCGTTCTCTACTTCCTCCGGCAGGGCTGCTACAACGCCGAAGGAGACATTGCCGTCTTGTGCGCCTACCTTGGACAGCTACAAAAGGTTCGCGCGGCGCTCGCCGGTCTGAAGATCACCGTCGCCCTTGATGAGCGAGACCAAGACCAGCTCGTCAGGCAAGGTATCGACGAAGAGCAGGCTGAATTCGAAGAAGTTCTTGTCGCGAAGCATGTGTGTACTGGAATGAATCGAGGATGTGGCATATACTGATCGTCTAAACAGCTCCGTCTCGGTACTGTCGACATCTTCCAAGGACGTGAAGCGAAAATCGTCATCGTCTCTTTGGTGAGAAACTCGGGAAAATCGGACAGCAGTACGGCATCCATCGGATTCCTGAAGGTCAGTATTTGCACGCATATAGTGATGTCACGGACCTCCGATCCTTACCCTGTCCTGACAGAGCGTCAACCGCATCAATGTGGCCCTGTCTCGCGCGAAACACGGGCTATATGTCCTCGGAAACGCGGCGAATCTGCGGCAGAACGACACCTGGGACACCATTCTCGCCGAGATGGAGGAAAACGACCAGATCGGCAGTGCATTCCCAATCATATGCCCTCGTCACCCCGAGGAAGTCAACTTCATCTCGCAACCAGCAGAACTCCCTCGAGTCGCTCCTGTGGGAGGCTGTTTGCGTCCATGCGGTGCGCAGATGCTCTGCGGCCACGTATGCCCGTCTGTGGTACGTTTTTTCTAAGGTGTGTTATGGGTCCGAAGCCTTATGTGCCGTCCAGTGTCACGCGGTCATCGACAATCACCGAACCGTTTTCTGCGAGGCACCCTGCACCCGGACACCCTGTCCTCGGTCCCACCCTTGCCCGAAGCGCTGCTCAGATAACTGCGGCGACTGCATCTTTCCAATGCATAGGGTCGCTCTTCCCTGTGGCCATGTTGCCGCTTCCGTACCATGGTAAGAAACTCAGCCGATGTCAGGTTGAAGGAGAGTAGTCTAATGGAGTCCTCTTTCAGTCACAAACTCGAGGACCTCGCGTCCGTCCGATGCACCGCGCAAGTACGGAAGAAGCTGCCGAGCTGCGAGCACTCCGCGGTCATGCAGTGCTCTCAAGATGCGGCCACATACCGCTGCCAGGAGCGCTGCAACCGCGAACTTCCGTGCTGCTCCAGGACGTGCAAGTCGAGCTGTCACGAGTGCACAGCCATCACCGTCGAGATCACCAGGCAAGCGTCTGGCCAGGTGGACCGGACGGAACACGAGAGCCACCCCTGCGAGCGCATGCTCTACTGCCAGCACCAGTGCGGTCTGGCCTGTGCGAAGGATCACCGCTGCAACACATCGTGCAAAGGTCAATGTCGTCAACAGTGCTCACATCAAAAATGCAGCAAGCCGTGCTCTGTTCCGTGCGCGCCGTGCATGCAGCGCTGCGAGTGGGCGTGCAAGCATGCCGAGTGTCCGGTGACATGTGGGGCGGTACGTCCTGATTCAAAGCGAGTACTGCACATGGTCCTCACCTTTGCCATGCAGATCTGTTCGCGACTTCCCTGCGATGAGCCTTGCAGTACGACCTTGCAATGCGGCCATCCCTGTCCGTCTGGTAAGTTTCCAGATGTTGGATATCATTGGATGCACACTGAGATGTTCTGCTGTTTAAGTCTGCGGAGAGCCCTGCACTGCACAGACATGCGTCGAGTGTCTCTCGGACGAAGACAGGCAGGACGTGGACATCGTCGACTATCTCATGCAGCGCAAGCTCGAGGAGATCGACCTCACTTCAACGGACGTTGCCGAACGACTCATCACCCTCGCATGTGGCCACATGTTCACCGTCGAGACCCTCGATGGTCACTGCAACATGCACGCATTCTATAACGTCGACCCTATGACCGGGAAGTTCCTCTCCACTAAGGCGCCTCCCATCGACTACCAGACTCCGCCGACGTGCCCGCGCTGCCGAGGACCCATCACTGCTCTCCGTTATGGGCGCGTCACGAAGCGCGCGACGCTCGACATCATCGAGCAGAACGTGGCTAGCACCATGTCCCACTCCCTCGACAAGTGTACTCCCGCTCTCGCGGCCCTCACCTCATCTCTCCCCACCCTCAAGGAGGAAGCCACGAGGCTCAAGATCGACGCCACCGACCCCGAGGAAGAGGACAACAAGAAGGATACTCAGCGCAAGGGTGCCGATCACTTCGCAAACCTTGCGGGAATGCTCCCTCTCTCCGTACTGCAGACTGGAGGGATGATGTCCTTCCACGGCCTCTCGAAGAAGGAAGCGCGCACCTGGCACGACCACATCAGCCCCGCACTCATCATGTACGCGAGCATCGTTGGTATCGCCAGCACCCGTGGGGCGCACGTCATGGCCTACGAGGCCGCGCGCAGCACCCTCTTCCGCCTGACGATGGAGGAGCTCACGCAAGTTTCTCTCGATGCACCCGGCGCGCTCGGCGACGACGACACGCCCGAGGAGATCGCGCTCGCCACGGTAGACCGCGCGATCGGCCAACCCCCTCCGAAGGCCGACGTCCGCTTCCAAGTCGAGGCCTCCTTCCTCACGCTCGAGGTCCGCGCGCTCATCGCCGAGATCGCCCAGGCGCGCGTCGAGGGCCTCAACGTGAACCCGACCACGGCGGACGCGGGCGCGGCGGCGCACCGCGAGAAGTGGGAGCGCTTCGTCGCGTTCGTGTACGACACGTGCGCCGCGGACGCGGGCAAGACGTACAAGCTCGCCGCGGACTCGCGCGCGTCGCGGCAGGCGGCGCGCGCGATGGTGCACCAGACGCGGTTCAAGTTTGAGCGCATGCGGTGGGACGTGATGTGCGAGCGCACGGCACGGAAGCGGGCGCAGGCGTTCGACCGCGAGCAGCGGCAGGTGCTGGCGAAAAAGGCGAAGGAGATGAAGGCGCATGTGCATCGGATCGGCGCGGACATCGAGAGAACGTACCTGAAAGAGCGGGGGGTGCGGTTCCGGAGCTCCGACGCAGCTGAAGCGCAATGGTTGGACGACAATGTGTGGAAGAAGATCAACGCCTGGAAGGGGGAGTGCGACGCGCTGGAGGCGTTCCTCGCCAAGGACGGCGTTTACGAACCTCTTTCAACCCAGGAGATGGAGGATATCGTGCGCTCGTTCAACTTCTGTGAGTTCCTGTGCACGTCGTCGTCTCTCTGCTGGTTTTTTGACGCGCGGACGGTCTAGCGCACCGCGGTCACTTCTACAACTGCGAGAATGGGCATACGTTCGTAATCACAGAGGTATGTCTCTGCTATGCGAGTACGTGAATACTGATCTAATTCATGTTGACCAGTGCGGCGGCGCTCAAGAGAGGTCGCGGTGCCCCGAGTGCGCCGCGCCGATCGGTGGTGGAAACCACCAGATCGATAACTCCAACACGCGAGCGAAAGAATTCGAGGCGGCTGCACGACGCATTGGAGTGCGGGCAGGAGTGTATTCGTGGAACAGAGACGAGTGATTCAACAGCGACTTTGGACGATGTAGCAATGCTTATGTGGTATCCGCTGTATACGAACGAACGAAATTCGGCCCGATCTCGTCGATTCTCCTCTTCTTGCGCCCAACCTCTTTCTCGCCCTTCAACCGACAAGCACCTGTTTAACAACGTACAGCGGTTTCTTGCCACGCGGAGTGGTTGAGATGTTAATGCGGAACTGGGCCTTGCGGCCCTGCTCGTCCTCGCCCTGGAAGACATGGGAAGAGATCGAGTGGCGCTCTCTGCAGGCTGAATGGTGCCCGTCCTTGGGGTCGGAAGACTCGACGACGCCCGCCTTGCACGAGGAAAATCCAAGACCGGTCTCGTCCCAGCCCTGTGTATCAGAGTAGCACAGCATCAGTGTTCTGTCCGTGCGCCAGGGCGGACGTGCGGACTGACCAGGGCAAAGTCGTAGTGGTGATCACCGTCGAGTTTGATCCGGAACGCAGTCCCGCCTGCGACGGGGATCGAGGCGGGCAACTCTCCGTTGGAGGACGAGAACACGAGTTGCGTAAAGCCGTCCGTGTCTCCCGGCATGGTCCCAGAACTGGAACGAGGCGGTTTACGTCTTCAGCAGGTGGATGTCGAACTGCGTCTCGTTTTTGAGCGCGCTCTGGACCCAGCGGGGTCTGATCTAGAGTGCGTGCGGTGGATCGGGAATCGGTTCGTCCGCGACCTAGGGGTAGAGCGCGATTAGCCGGTGGAATGAAGTCACGGCGCGAACGACGATGAGGGGCACGTACTTGAGAGATACGGCTCACCAGCTCTGAGTCGATGAGGAGGTGTTGATGGCCATAGGATGAGGAAGGTGACGGAAGAGGAGACCCACTGAGAGTGCTGTCGATCGCTGGCGTACACCGCGCGTCTTCCCAACGTCTCCCGTTACCGGAAATTGAATCAGTGAGACATGTTGGTACGCGGCGCTCTGTGATCATGAGACCGACTTTGCAGATCAGACATAGCAGGTTCATAGTCATCAGAAACGTGCGTTAGCCAAGACTTCCCTGCCTTGAATTCGCCGTCGACGTCGAGAATGGAGATGAGTGATTTTGATGGCTGTTGTTTCCCAGGCTGTTTGGCGCCTGCCCTGAAATTCCCGCGTGGCTGTCCTATCCGTGCACTCCTTGTTATCTCCACCACCTCCCTTGTGCACCGCAGTTGTCCCCGATGCACGTCATGTGGGCGGAAGGCATGCCCGAAGCGCCGGCGCCGTATCATCCGCCACCATACTTCCTGTCGTACTTGTGCCCGGGTTTAGAGAAGGTAGGCTCAGTCGGATTGATCCACCGGTGATTGTCGATCTTCAACTTCGTTCGTTATTCAGTAGCAGCCTGCCATCATCCATTGCTTCACACGCTCTGTATCTGCAAGAACGGAACGCAAGCTCTTGATGACCGCCGGTCATTCTGTGTCTCCGGATTCTAACCATGTACGCACTGCACTGATCTCCAATGTTCGTTTGCTCGGACTCCAGTGGCGATCTGCGTATATAAGCCGAGAGCTTTGGCAGCAAGTCTCTCAGACACACCGCTGCCTCTGTCGCCGTTTCAACTCTTCTCACGATGCCTTGTTCCACCAAAGCTATGCGCATTCTGTGGTACGTCGGCGCTGCTGCCGGACGCCTCTCCATTTGACGTGCGCTCACACATCCCTATGCAGCGAGGATACTCTCAAGGATAACGTTACCGTGATCGCCTGCTTCGAGCCCCAGGGAACCGACTTCACCTCGACAATCGCTTGGCAGTGCGTGTGTTTTATCATTCCTCATGCACGACACTCAACCTAGTCTTCTCAGAGTGGAAACATTCTGGGCCAATCGCAGTACGCCGTCACTCTTGTTGTCGACCGTGAATGCGATCTGACGCTTTCACATCGCAGAGCACTACAACAGAGGACATTTCAACTGGAACAGCGGGTTCGTATGACGATCCGTTGGGGATGATTACACGCTAACGCGGACTTTTTCCCCATAGCTATGCCTTCAGCATCATGCCAACTGATTATTTCTCCTACCAGCACCAACAGGTGAAGGTGCGCTCGACCGGCTTCCTTCTTGGGGGCATTGTTGATAGCTCAAGATCTTCTGTTATTTCGCGGCAGTCCGACGACTTGACGACCATCATTTTGTACGAAGGAGAATACAGATTCTTCGTGAGTACTTTCCGTTATGCAGCGTCCCGCGGGGTACTTCGACTGAACGTCGTAACGCTGCAGGGGGTTCGCGGCGGCGAGCAAGACGGGCCCAAAGTGTTGAACAACACCAAGGATGTTATAAACATTGGATGGGGTGAGCGCAGCGTCCAGCATTCGCCTTCCATGTGGCTGAGCTGCTCACACGTCGTGAATTCAGGTTTCTACAGCAATTTCGACGGCATGCAGTCGGTCATGCAGTGGGACAACGTTGCGTGAGTGTCATATCGTTCACGGGTACGCCCACGCTGATCACATCGGGGGCAGCGCTGGCGCCACCAGGGTTCCGGACGGCTGGGCACCGGTCCTGTCTCTCTACGTCTTGAAGAACTACGACGGAGATCTGTATGCCGGCGGTGTGATCGATTTCCCCCTCGATGCTTCTCGCAGGAAGTGGTCGAAGGACCTGAGCACTCTCGACGCCAACAGTCATGCACACTTCAAGGTTGTGTGGGAGCCGGAGGCCCAGGACTACGTGATCGCGTTCTCAGAGATTCCCGACTCCTAGCTTTCTGGACGCGCGGAGCAGGTTTGAATGTCATAGTGAGTTTCGGCTTGCACTGCGCTCGACGCCGTCCGATAGACCGGTGCGCTGACGCTTTTCATTTCTCAGACCCGCGTCGAAGTCAGAAACGTAACGTCGACGTGAGAGGTGCCGCTTCCGATCGCGGCAGGAGATCGAAATAGTCTCGTACAGTGGAGAATACTTGTGCTTGTAGTTAGTTCCAAATACGACGTGTCCCATCAGAGTGCTCAATGGGAGACTGCGACAACATTGAATCGCGAGGGCACGGCGTATTGATAAGTCCCGCGAGCCTCCCATGTAACGCCCCCATTATAGCTTCGAGATCGTGCGTGCGCGACAAGTAGACTCTGTCTTTGGCGATAGAACGTTACATTTGGAGACCTACAGTCACGCACATAAGGTACCACAACGGCGTCGTTAGATGCAGCTACTGTTGCCTGAGAATATCCCTTCAGATGCGCTAGAGACTGTCAAAATGAGCGCACATACTGCTGGGGCTAATGGTAACCGGAGCCGACTCGGTTTCAGCGCCAGTGGCATCTTCCAAAACCAGAGTGACGACGCTTCCTGGATGCGAAGTCGTCAGACGGCCCGCTGCCGTGACTCGTGAGAATGAAGAACGGGTACTCACCTGCGTTGAGGTCGACCTCCCACACGAACGAGTGGCCTGTCAGGTTGAAGAACGCGCGCTGGAAAGTACCCGGGGGACCGCGGATTCTGTGTGACACCGTAGTGAGTATTTTCTCCAAGAATCGAGGATAGGGAGGACGTAGCACGCACATCTAGACGCGCCCGCGATGGTACGCTGATTAGAGAGACAAAAACCCTGGATCACATAGATCTTACCAAATCATAAGGGGCTGTATCAAGAACGCGTCAGACAACGCAATTATGGCTCCAAGGTGTGCCAATCGTCACATACCGACGCCGCCTTCCCATGTGACCAGAGTGTCGCTGCACTGCGGAGCCTGCGCCCTACATAAACAGAGCCTTTATTCTGGAAAAGTCGTTTACGAGGAGGTTGAAAGACGCGTACGGCGTGTTGATGATGAACCGGGCACTGGCAGCGGCTGCCATCGCCGCGAGGATCGGGAGAGTCGAGAGGGTGAACTTCATGATGTTGCGCTGTGAGAGGTAGGCGAGAGCTGCTATGCGGCTTGCGTTCGTCCTTCCGTTGTCGGGCTTGATATATCCTTATGCGCGCTCCCGAAGAAACCACCCCATGACGTCAGCAGGGTACTAGAACTGTCAGCTGAGGCACGAACGTGAGAAGAAAACGGAGATCAAGAAAACCGGCGAGTCGTCCATGGCTGTGGCGCAGAGCATGTTTCTATGAGAGCAGTGAGCGGTCCGACCACGTTCCGACATCGGAGATGTAACGATGACGGAGGAGATATTCATAGAGCCTTTTACTTCGGCGTGTCGGCTCCGCTGTGAGAACAGCGGCAGATGTAGTGGAGCGATGCATGTCTGCGATAGACATCGCGCTTGCCTTAGTCTCAAAACAAGTGCTGCGGGACGGACTGCAATGATGAGGCGGGCGGAGGGTCAGTACTTAGCACTCACGGAAGCTGTTTACCGATCCGACACGGCGCAATGGCAGCGCGCAAAGTATCTGATAAACGCATGTTGACCGAGTCGAGCAGCGCCCTGACGCAACCGTACCTGTGTAAGCGGGCCAACCGTGAGTGTGCCGCGCGCCTCGGGTGCGCACAACCTTACTTTCATTAGCCTTCTTCAACCCGACGCATGTACCCGTGTGGCTTGCGAGGGGTCCGTCCGCTTGGCAACTGCTTGCTGTGGGCTGTTCGCGGGAGAAACCGCCAAGATTTTCCTTTCTTGGACGAGTTATACTCACCGCCCATTGGTGTGGCTTCTGTTCCTGATGGCGCTTGTGCAGGGCGAATATCGGAGATAACTGCTTCGATCGCCCGATCGTGCACTTGGAGCCTCAGCACGCAGAATAGGAAACCCACTCTGACACGCACGACCACGTCGCGGAGGGTGACAGAACGGCGACGAGGGCTATACAAAGTCCACAGAGAGGATGGCTTTAGTGGCTGCTGATCGGAGATCCTCGCTTCAGCACACGCATGCCGCAGAAGCCAAATGAGCGCACTCACCGCGTGGAACTGACCCCGTCCCCACATGTTCCCCGCCTCCCGAAGGAACTCCTGTCCATGTTCGTGCGACACCTTTCCGCGGACCCTCGGGATTGTGGTGAAGCGCTTCGCTCCTCGGACGCCCGCAGTCTGCTGGCGACAACTGTGAGCGCGGTCGACCCCAGAACGTCCTTACAGCAAAACAAAAACGCACTATATCGGTAGGACGGGAACTGTTCCTGAACGTTCAAACGTTGAACGGCGTGACCCGAGGGCGGGAACCAACAGCCGACCCAACGTGCGGGCGTCTTGAGTGAGCGCGAGGTCGAGAACGTCGCCCGCGACGGACATGCTGGGTGCCCCGCAGTCGCGCGCGAGCCCCAGCCTATTCTGCAACTGCAAGTACAAGACCGCGCGCGGTGCAACGGCGGTCGTCCTCCTCCGGCTCCGCGCCCGCGCGCGCACGAAGACGAGTGCCGAATCTCTTCGAGGTTGGGCGCTTGAGCAGGAAGCCGTCGGCGTGGCCGATAATCATTTCTGCGCCAGATTGGCGTAGAGTGCATACGTACGCCCTCGAAGCAGCGTGCCCCCGGCCGAGGACGTTGTAGTGTGGGGAGGGAAGCGAGGAGCAGCGACACGCGTCGGGCTGAAAATCAACATTCATCCATCGGACCGGTGCCGGGCCGCTCGGGATATGGCATGCAGAGCCGTAAGCAGTCCAAGCGAAGGAAACACATGTAGACATTTGGCAACACCTTTTCTGAGCCAGTAGTAGCATGAGCAGGGCATACAAGCAGGCGATACCACACACTGGAATGCGCACAAGATGCAAGGGGCTCCACGGCGGCGCGAGTCTCGATCGTGTCCTCTCCGTCCCCCGGTCGCGAAATTTCGACAGGTTGCGCGCCCTCGGGGCCGTCGCCGACGCGCGAGCCCTCGGGGGATGCGTCGGCGTTGAAACAGCACCAAGTAGGCGGAGAGGTAGAGGACGGCCGCATGTGAACGACCAGCAGCCCACAGCGACAACATACGTCCCCCTGGGTGGGCCGCGTCGAGCGGGAGGGTGTGGTCGAGGAGGTTCACGGTCTTGGAAATCTGCTGTTTGCCGTCGCAGATCGCGGGAAGGAACGCGCAGAGAGCCCAAATCCAGAACTGACCTCGAACCTCGGAACCACACCCTCATGACCCGCCACCTAATACCTCGCCGTCAGGACCTCCCACGTCCCCCCAACGCCCTCGCCCTCCTCGCCCTCCTCGCCCGGGACCTTCCGCAGCCCCCACAGCCTCCCGCGGTCCATCAGGAAGTCGATCCGGCAGATGTCGAGCACGCCCTCCGGGCGCGCGTACCACCACCACCCGCCGCGGCGCACGCTGCACGCGCTCGCGACGCACACGCGCGCGGAGTGGCTCAGCGCGGCGTTGTAGTAGTCCTCCGCCGCGATCGGCGCGTGCAGGTGCGCGTGCAGCGCGGTGAGGAGCGCGGCGAGGGTGAGCGTCGGCGCGGGCGCGGGCGAGGGCGCGGGGTCGACGTAGAGGAACCAGGGGAGGTCCTGGTGGAAGAGGCGGAGCGAGGGGCGCGAGGGGTGGAGCGCGAGGGGGACGGGGGAGGAGCCGAGGTCGTGGCGGGTGGTGGAGCCGTCGTGGGCGACGAGGAGGACCTCGAGGGCGTGCGTGAGGGGGTTGCGGAGGTTGTGGTCGACGAGGATGATGGCGGGGTCGAGGGGACGGTCTGCGCGCGAGCAAGGGAGCCCGTGCTGAGATGGAGCGAAGGGACGCGAGAGATGGACTGAGCACGCACCGTCTACCACACTCACATCCTCTTCCGCCGGTGGCCACTTCACGCGCTCCAGCGGCGGCTCGACTTTCCGTCCGGGGTGGACCAGCCTCGACCAGGACGGCGCGAAGTCGACTCTCCATTCCGCCGGGGCAGGACGCGTCGCAGCGTCGCGCTGCCGCCGCTCCCTCCACGATCCGCCCATCGTCGTGATCGTAGACACTGACGACTCCCTCTGGACGTGCGAGCTGACGAAGCTCATACTTGACGCTTCGCAGGACTCCTCCGAGGGGTGGAATGACCGCGCGGCGTGCCTCGTCGCTGCGGTAGGTGTCTCCGGGCTCTCCATCACTCCCCCAGTAGATCTCCAACTGTACTCCCGTTCTTCAACCGGCGACAGCTTGCTCGTCGACGCCGTGGGGGGTTGGTTCTCGGGATGCGACCTCGGAGGAGTCTTCGGACGGGCCGCATCCTGAGTCGGACGCCCCGCCCTCGCGCGCCGTCCCCCGCCAGGTGTGGGGTTGAAGCCGCCGGAGGACGAGGACGTGGTCCGGGACGTCCTGGCCGTGCTCGCCGACTGCGAGGCCGTGCGCTCGCGCGCCTTGCGCGCGTCGCCGGCGAACATCGCGGGATCGAACGCGCCGAACACCGCGATCGCGGGCTCCGCCGGGAGCGGCGGAACGGGGGAGTCGTTGTGGGGGCGCGACCATGGGCGGGAGGAGGAAGAGGATGAGGAAGCGACGGAGGGGGCGCGGCGGGACGCGGGGGTGTGGGAGGTCGAGGGAGAGTGGGACGACGAGTGTGACTTGTCCGTGTCCTTGTCCTTGTCTGTGCCCTTGGATTCTTTGGACGAGCCACGTGGGGAGCGACGGCGATTGCGGTCGGTGGGCTCGGCAGGGGTCGCCCACTTCTGCCGGCCGATTGCGCTCCGGGAGGACATGCGGGACGGGAGGTGCAGGTGGGTGGACGAGGCGGGGATGAAAATTCGGCCCCAACTTGGGGTGCGGGGTCGCCTGGAGTTACGGCATGCGAGGCTGACGAGCTGGCGCACCTTATCAGGGTCTATTCGTTGCCATGTGCAGGGATGTGGGATGATGCAGGGAAGCAAGCCAGAAGGCATTTTAGTGCGCCTCGTGAGACATTCCTGGCCGTCGGACGGCATGGGTGACGAAGCAGAGAGCTTGAGCCTAAGACGAGGCAAAGGGATAACGGGAGGAGGAGGAGGAGGAGGAGGAGGTCATCATCATGAGAGCAAGATCAACACTCAGATCGAGATCAAACAGTGCATGTGGAGTGCCGCGCGCGGCCCGGGGTCGGTCCGACTCTGTCGACCGTGATGATGATGATGATGATGATGATGAATTCATGCCAGAGCCTCTAAGTACCTTCGTAATGCTATGTACGAGCTTTCTCAGGGACGGCGGCTATCCCGCATTTGTTTGACTACATAGGAACGGGGCCACGGCCTTAGCTAGTGAGTGGCAGGTGCAGGCCCAGCAGGCGGCCGCATTTGGAACCAGGGAGCGCATACGTAAAAAGTCCATTGGCCGAAACAGAGTCCATGCCCATCTGAAGACCCACCATTCCCTACTTACCGTGCCCAGCCCAGACGTTGGCATCCGCTACTAGCCCAGGAGAATCTTATCAGGTGGTTTATTTGGGGTCGGGGGTTGTCACCTCACGCAGGCGCAGAGTGGCCGCGTGGAGGCCGGGTCTTGCGGGGTGGAGTGGCGCCCGAGTCGCCCTTCGGCAGGCGGCGGGGGCACGTGCGGTCATAGGCCACGTGATCACCTGAGCAATTCACGCAGCGGACCGGCAGAGTGGGGGCACCAGGGGTCCTCACAAGGAGCCCGTGGTCGTGCGAGTGGTGGGCGCCAGCGCAGATGCCACACGCCGGAGGCGCGCGGCAGCGCAGAGCCACATGCCCGAACTTCTGGCAGTTCTGGCACTGGGGGCGGTGGGGAGCGACGCACGCCATGAGGCAGGCGCGCGGGCCGTTGTCGAAGATGAGGCGCGTGTTATTGAGCTTGCGGGTGGTGGCGAAGGCAGCGTCGTCGTCAATGTCGACGAACAGTGAGGCAGTGGGAGCGTCGGGGGTGTGAGGGCCCCAGCGGATGGCGGTGGGCGTGGGGGAGGTGTGGGCGCCGGCTGTGGTCCAAGCGGGGACTCCAGAGCGGGCAATGGCGTCGCGGAGAGCAGAGCGGGGGTCGACCTCGACCGACGTCCCGTCCGCATTATAGCGCAGGCGCTGGACCTGAGGGAAGAGCATGGAGGCCTGGTGGACATACCGGGCCATTCGGAGGCGGGCGCCGAGCAGCGCTTCCAAGTGTTGGTGGAGGGAGGCGGCCTGGGCATCCAGGTCGGCTGAAACACCCGCAGCGGGAGCCGCCGGGAGGACGGACCAGCGGGTGCGAGCAGGGTTGGAGGTGAGGCGCTGGACGGGGATGTCGCAGCGTCGGCGGAGGTCGTCAAGGACATGGGCGTCGTGACCAGGGATGGGCAGGGCCGAGGCTGGGTCGAGGACGTAGAAGTTGAGGATGCGGGCAGAGCCCGCAGGGCGGCGCTGGCGGAGGGCGGCGAGGGTCACTTTGAGGGCGGTCGGCTTGGGCTTGGGTGGCGAAGCTGGGGAGGGTGTGGGCAGGGAGCGGGCCGAGTCGGGGCTCGCGGTTTTTGAAGTGGCAGGGGTGGAGGTCGCTGGCTTGCGCACAGCGGCCTTGCCCTTGACCTTGCCCTTGGGGCCGCCGCGTGCAACCGTCGCCCAGGAGGGGGCGGCCGGGACGTCGGGCGGGCCCGCGGGGAGGCCGGGAGTGGTGGGGGCCCCGAAGGGGCGTGGCGGGAGGGCGGCTGCGCCAGTAGGCGCCGCCGTGGCGGGAGGGCCAGGAGCGGGCGCGGAGCCGGGCTCGTGGGCAGGGGGAGGCGGGGGCGTGAGCTCAGGCGCCGGCACAGAGGCCGCGCGCGAGGGTGCAGGGGAGGGCGTGGCCGGCGCGAGGCCGACTGGTAGGGAGTCCGCGGTGAGATCCATTGGGACGACCGAGGAGGGAGCGGGGGTGGCTGAGCGTTCGAGGGCGCGCAACTTGCGCAGGCGGTCTTTGGCGTGACCAGCAAGATGGTGGACGACCTGGATAAGGTCGGCATGCCTCTGGAGGAAGGTGATGGCGGAGTCGTGGTCCAAGCCCGAGCCAATAGAAATGGCATCGGCGAGGGCAACACGTCCAATGTCGGGGGTGGCGGCAATGGCATCAAACGCGTGGGAGAGGAGTTGATGGAGGAACGCCGTATCGTGGTCGCTCAGCGGGGGGAGGTCTTCGTAGAGGTCCATGTCGTCCGGGGGATAGGATGTCGAGAACGGGTTCAAGGGAGCGGAGCTTGCGCTAGGTTCGCGAGCAATGGCATCAAGGAAAGAAGCCTTCTTCTTGCCTTTCTTGGTGGAAGACATCGTACAGGGGAGCAGCGAGGGAGCAGCGTCAGCAGTGAGGGTGGGCGCTAGAGGGGGTGGTGGAGGTACGAAGCCAAGAAGGGATGGACTCTGTCGACCGTGACATGACATGATGAAAGGGCGCTTTGAATCGCCCGCGCGACTCGAGTTTTTGCTGATCCTTTTGGAGGGGAGAGATAGCTCGGTCGATGTGCACTAGAAGAAAAATAGATCAAAGGGCGCTTTGTATATGCATCCTCGTCGCAGCTGTTCGCTTCGCAAGTCATACCGCAAGTACCGACTGCTCCATCTCCGAGTATCCGCACAATACTGTACCAAAACTTGTGGGTACTCAAGTACTCACATCTGATTCCTGCGCGTGGAATAGGCTCGCGTGGCGGGCTCGAGCTCGGGCAAGGCTCGAATTTGACCGGCTGGGTCCAAGGAGCGAGTCTGGGAGCGATATCAGCGCCCCCGGTCGACACCTCCGCGCTCGCGGATGCGACGGAGGACAGCCGGGACGTAAGAAGCGTTTGAAGGAGATTACGAGTATGAGAGATGTAAGAGGCGTGATAAAAAGACATTGGGACTAGACATTGAGTGAGAGGACGTGTATTGTGGGAGATAAAAATCGAGAAACAGCCGTTCCGACCGTGCCCGCCTTCGAATATTGCTCGGCGGTGCGCGCTTGCAACGTCCGCGCGTTCCTGGCGATCACAACCGGTGTGAGGACGATGGAACGAGGCTGGATGTGATGTGACGGTACGGCAGACCGAGAGTGAGACAAGGCGTCAGCAACAGATCAGAAAAACAAAAAGAAATCACGAGACTGAATGAGCGATGGATGTGGAACTGGAGAGATGTCAGAAGGAGCGTGGTGATGATGTGAAAGATAGTTCAAGAGACGCGCTGCGCATTCATTCAAGATCAGCGACCACGCGAGGGCGACAGAACGAACGCACTCACCGCCTTGTAGGCACTTTGGCCGGTAAGAGACTCAATCATCTTCATTAGGCCAGATCCCGAAGTGGTTTCGAATGCGCAGAAACTGCTCGAGGAACGTGTCGTCAGTCAGGCGGAACCACTGCTTGGTCGAATCGGATGCAGGATGCATCTTGATGATGGTAGGAGGCACCGTCGTGAAGTCCCGGCGATACAGCACGACCTGGATTCCTGGACCACGGGTCATCGGGGCGATGCGAGTCGCCAGGCAATACATGTCCTTGTCGTGTGGAAACTGCTCGAAGTACAACTTAACCTGGCGGAAGTGGTTAGTGGTGGAGTGCTTGGCCTCGACGGCGACCACAGGCTTCTTGGAGCCGTCCAGGAGCTTGACGTAGATCATGAAATCGGGGACAAAGGCCGGGCGTTGTCCGGGAGCGTGTTTGTCAACGGGCCTGTTGTACGAGTCGGTGGAGATGTTACGTTGAGCGTCGGGACCAGAGCTCGAGCTTTCATCCTCGGTCACGCTGCCCTCGACATACTCGACTGGGCCGCATTCGTAGTCCTCGTCAGAGCTGGCATCCTCAGACGAGTCAGCATCCTCGGACGAGGTGTTGTCGTCTGCATCATTGTCGTCGAGTAGGCGTTCGTCTAGGGACGGCGTCTGGGTGCCTGGCGTCCTGGCAGAAGCACTGCAAGAAGGCGGGGTGTTGAACGAGGACGGAGCTGCCGTAAGAGCAGAACGTTTAGCGAGCTTGAGAATACGAGCATGGGGGTGCACCCCCAACCGCGCAACAGCAGGAATCCAGTAGAAGAAAACCATGGACAGCACCGATTCTAGGCCGCTTTCACTGGTCGTGTTCATGACAGTGATGTTTTCAGCAGCCTCCCACAGCCACGGAGCGATGCATGCCTTGAGCTCTTGGACAGAGGTCTTCGACGAGATTAAGAGTGTCAGAGATGGACGATACACCAAGAAAACCTCGAGGGGACGTACGAGTCGACGTGCAGAAGGGTGGATCTCGAGAGGTTTGGCGTCCAAGAGCAGGTTGAGAACCTCGTGGAGATCTTTTTCGATTCCCTTCCGAGGCGTACAGCTTTGCAAAGAAATGACACATCAGTACGTAGGCCAACTGCTTTACAGCTTCGCGAACCGCTCACCGAAGCACCTAGTAGACGGAATATAAATGAGCGGGTGAATGAAGAAGGTAGATCTAATATAATCGTGCTTACAACTAGTTGAATGCATTCGATAAGTAGTCCAGTGGCGCGAGTCTTGAGCGCGCCATCGACGGAAACCGGGAATTCCTTCAGTGGATTGGCAGCGTGTGTCTCACGAGGGACCTGGGGAGACCATCAGAACCGAGGTTTCCGAACACAGTCTTGGTCTCACCGAATCGGATGGCGATCGGATCGGTTCAGCACGTGAACCGGGGGGATCTGTCTTTGCGTTGGAGGGACTGGCGACCTTGAGAATAATCTGTGGGGGAGAAGGCTTGACCGGTGGGTCCGCCGCGGGCTCTGTCACAGTGGCGGGAGCTTGAGCCGCTGACAACAAGCCGTTGACGCGCTGTGGGAGAAGGTAACAAAGATCTGAGATGAAGTGCACGGGAGGCACGGCAACGCACTCGCCAGATGGATGCGTATCTGTTCTAGCTTGGATTCTGTGCCGCCGAGGATTTTCCAGTTAGGATGAATGTTTTTGGCGGCTCTTTTGGCACTGGACAAAAGGGTTGGAGAAGCGATAAGTCAATACAGGATAATGCATGAGCGTGAAATACGCACGTGCAGGACTGTACGCCCAGCGTAAGATTAATAGGTCAAGGACGCGGAAAAAGGCAAAATAAAGAACGCACAAAGGTCGCTCTCACAGCCATCACATCTGCTACAACGCCCTCGAAGAGCTCTGCGAGCGGCGAGAGAGGATTGGCCGTTTCGGGATCTGGAGCCTCGAAAGTGTGTGCCTGCGCATCTTCTCCATGCACATTGGCGGACGTAGTGGCGACAGGCGGGACCTCGGAAGCCGGGATGGTTGGCGTGTCCGGTCTGGTTGCGGTAGCGTGCGATCTGTGATTGAGCGTCAGTGTGGACGAGGTCGGGCGGCGAAGAAATGGTCGAACGTACGTGTTGGGAGAACCGGCTCCCTGATTTCCATTGTGTGTCGCAGCGTCGTTAACAGTCACTGATCGACCACGACGTGGAGGGGCGCCCCCCCGAGCCCCACGGCCTCTGGGTGGCATGGCAAGGTAGTGGAGGGGAGGGTTGAGAAGAGTGGGGGATGATGAGAGCAGGTTGCGGATTCATGGCGGAGAGAGAGGCGTTATATGTGTGACGAGAACAATGAAGCCTGCGCGCACCAATATTTGTGGTCCTTGAGAGGAAGGTGGTCAGAATCAAGTGAGGATGGCTGGGACGGAGCGCCAGCGGCCGGCCTCGGCCGACCACGTGACCGTGTTCGAAACTGCTCCACGAGCACGAGGCGGAAATCGAACGCATTGGGCGCCCAGACGGTACCGCGTTCCTCTCCGCATCTCACTTCCCGCCACTCGCTCTCCTCCTACCATCTACCGCACTAGAGCTCGCCCATCTGCCAATATCAATGTCCATATACATCGGAGGCTTCCTACTCGGCGTTGAACACTTTCGCCATCTCAGTGTCCGCGCGTACGGCAACGGCGATGTCGACCACCCTGCCCTAGCCTCCGAGTACCTCAGCGACGTCGATGAGTACTTGTACCAGCACTTAGTTCTGGACTGTCCGGAAGTCATCAAAGTCCGTGACTACGACACGCCTGGAAAGCCCGTCATCGGTTACCTTCTCACCTGCCGCATCGCGTTCGTTTGGGAGGGCGAGAAAGTCCCCGACCTGTCTCTCACAGAGGACACCCGCCCATTCATCGACTATTGGTTCCCCCCGTCGGTTCGCACGCTGGACGTTTTCAAGAACATGAAATATATCCAGTATGCATACCCTTATCCGCTCCACCGTGCGTGTCTTCTTCCTTTCGCTTTCGCCACGATCGTAACAGTGTCATCGCTAGGCTCCGATTTCTTGGTCAAAAAAGCATCACAACATCAACTTCAAGGCAAGATTTTTAACGAGCCTGGACGCTTGAAGTGGCTTCATGACGTAGAAACGGTCACAGGGCGGTGTCATTCTTATGTCGTGAGTCCTCTGTCCTCCCACGCGTCATCTGTTTTCTCATATGGGCAGCCTCCGCGTCTGCCTGTGGCGTATGCTCTGGGAGAGACTGCTCTCCGGCAGGATCGCCCAAAAAAGGTGAGCTTTCTTTTTGGCCAGGCGTCATCGCCCAGCTAACAGTGCGATTTGCAGCCCTTCTCGCCTTCATCTCCTTGGGCATCCGTATAGCCCCAGTGGTTATTCACGATCCCGAGCCTCGTATGTAACTTATCGATGTAACTTTATTGTCTTCTTGCCCCGTAATCCCCGAACATGGTCGTGGTCGTGCCCGGACTTCCACATCAACTCCCTTCCGACGCCAGCTATACCAGTACTCACGATTCTGCGAGATTCGCGAAAACCAACAATGTAGCGCGGTTCGCAGCGTTCTGCGCATACCAGCCGCGCGTAGGTCCCCCGTGATGTTCTTTCCGCGTGGACCAGCTATCGCTATCTGAAGTCAACTCGCGGTGAACGGTCAGCCGAGTAACCACCTCGCGGCGCACGAGTCGAAGCCTGAATGCGCGATCGTCAGGTTAATCGCCGTAGCAATTGCCAATCCCACCCACGTCATAGATTAATCGGTGTTCTTCGGCATCACTAACAATCCAATGCTCCCGATCTACCAGCTGACACAGCACACCATCGTCCGACAAAGAAGTCGCGCAGTCACGAAGCTACTTACTCGACATTTCAGTGGTAATCTCTCCCTAGGGTCTTCTGGAGGCTGATATGGGCTTTTGCTACGCACGTAGCGAAACTGTGATATCTCATGTACACCCAATGCCTGAATATACATCCGCAACCCATCAAGGTCGCGCAATCACGAGGAGCTGTTCTTCTTCGGGCACTTGAGCTAGTACACCGTGCAGGATACGGTGCCGATGAGTGTGAGTCTATTGCGTCAGAACTCCGTACAAAATCCATATCGAAGATATCACTACCCCAAGTAAGAAATCCACTCAATTCATGGCTAGGAACCGTGCACGTCACAATATACCCATATGCTCTCGATATGAGACATTATGCATTAAGACCCTCATGATGTGCGCAGTGCCAGTACTAAAGTATCTGCTATCGTAATATTGTACAGTCGCCCGACGACTAAGCCAACGGAGCGACTCGACTCTCCGCTCGTCTGCTCAGACGTCACAAGATTCCAGCTTACGAGCGGAACTTCGGGGCGGATTCTTTGGTCGCCTCTCAGTATTGCAAATACCTGCACGAGCCACCACTGGTCAGTCCCGCACTCGCCCAGCGGCCGAACCACGCACCTCGCCTTGACCTGCCTCGTAGATAGCCCGTTCTCGACCGCCCATCTCAACCACTGCTCGTAGCCTATACGCCGGGCTTCCCACCGTTCGAAATCAGCCTCCAGCGAGAGGTACCGACCGGCGAGCCATTCCCGGCACTGCTCGTAATCGGCCTCCGGACACCGATCAATATCCACGAGCGGGGCGTGCCACTCATCCCACTGCTCGGCAGAGAGTGTCTCTACCCTCAAATACGTCATGCGCAAGCTGCGGAAGCTGTGCCGTGCCCGTCTGAGCGATCATGGGGGGCGATACGAGGTTGAGAGAGAAAGGGCTCACCGGGTGTCTACTTCGGACGGCTGGCGGTGCAGGACCCGACCGAGCGCAACGAGCTGTTCGCACGAAGGACACTTGAGATCGTATATCGTGTTGTCGAAGAGGTACCAGATGAGGGCCTCAAAAGGTGGACTGTCGAGCAAGTAGGTCGCGGTTCCAAGCAAAGGTTCGAACTCTGTCATCCAGTGCTCGACGCCCACGTCAAGGCGAATGCGGGCGCGGTGGTTTGAAAACCTGCGACGTACTAGGTAAGAAAGTGGTCGGACGATGCGGTCGGAAAGATGTGATTACCAGTCCGTGATTGTATCGGTTTGAAGTCCGAGTCGATCTGAGAGGGCTTCTACCTCCGTGGTGTTGGATCGTCTGAACCTCGAACGTGGGTGAGGAGGATCCGTTCCGCCTCAGGCGATACTTGCAGGGTTTCGAGATATGCTTCAGCCTGGGCGTTAAACCGATCCTCCGCTTCCATGAGTTTCGACATGCCGTTTGCTAGTGGGTCGTGCGTGTCTGCGTCAGTAGAGCTAGATCGGAACTGAAATCCAAAGAATTACCTGCAGAATCGGATGAGGAGAGCCTGTTCGTGAGCGGAGAATAAAGAGGAGGGAGACGAATCCACGAATAAGCACCGCGATCTCCTTAAATGCAACCGAAGGGCACCTACGAGTGGCTCTCGCTTGAGTGGCGTTACAACACCTCCTGAAGCGTGACATAGCTGTACTGAAGAGGAGTGGCTACCAATGGGACCACAAGGACCACAGGAAAGTACATCGAAGCGTCCGTATGAACAATAGGAGCCCCGGCTCAATAACGCACCTATATCCTAGAATTTAGCCCTTCTGAGCGACACAAAGGGACAACCCGCGTGGTTGTATATAGGAACTGTTCAGAACTGATTTCGCAGGACATAGAATAGCGACGTACCGTCATTCTTAGCGCCGCTCCTTGGGCCATTGCGAGTTTGTCCAGCCACACCACTGTCATTGTGTATCATCGCCACCTCTGACACCCCTTGTGGGAAGAAATCAATCGTCAGATTGGAGTCACCGCACTCATCTCCCAGCGTCGACAGACACCTGAAGCAAAGAGGACTGGTTAGCAAGCACGGCCAACGTGCACACTGATCTGGGCACTACTACCTCATGAATGACAAATGCGGAAAAACGGACTTCGCACCCTCGAGCGAGGCCAAACAGTATTATTGCTCACAACCTCTTCGCGCAGTGAACCATCCAGACCACTGAGAAAGAAATACCGACATGACGAATCCTCCACCATCTGATATCATGCATCCCTGATATCATGCATCGTCGCCCGACGACCAAGACTACGTGCCGCCGCCGCCGTGGAGCGACTCGACTCATCGCTCCCCTGCCCCGAAAAGCCGCCAGACGCACGGACCTTCGAGCCATAGTTCGCGTCCTTGTACGTCAAATACCTGCACGGTCCAAGCACCGGCCGTCAGCCTCAAACACGCGCGCCGCCGCCCGACCCACGCACCTCGCTGTGACCTGCGCCGTCGACATCCCGTGCGCGACCGCGATCCTCAGACACTGCTCCTCGGTCAGCCCCGCGGGCCCGCACGCGCCGACATCGAACGCATTTTCCAGCGCCAGCACGCGCCGCTGCCGCATCGGGGTGCACCCACGGCAGTACAGCGAGTTGTCGTTGCTCACTAACGGGGCGTGCCGCGTGTCCCACTCCTGAGCCGACAGCCGCCGCAGCGTCCGGTCTTCCGCGCGCAGCCACTGGATCCTGCGGGCGCGATCGTCGCACAGACGTGAGTGGGCGGTGCGAGAGGGAAGGAGGGCGGTTTAAAGTCACTCACTGCGTGTCCAGGTCGACGGGGTTGCGCTGCAGGAGCTGCGCGAGCGCGACGACCTGCTCGCCATCGGGCACTTGAAGTCGTACAACGTGTAGAAGACGGTGACGACGAGCGTGGGGGCGCCGGGGCCGGGCGCGCTCAGCGCAACGGCACTCAGGTACGGCTCGAACTCCGCTTTCCAGTGGTCGACGCCCATGCAATACGCGCTGCGGACGCGGCGCTTCGAGAACCTGTAACGCGGGTGAGAGGGGGAGCTGGGAAAAGAGCTTGGCCAGGGCTTACCAGTGCGAGATGAAGCCAGGGTTCAGGTTAAGGTGGTCTGAGAGAGATTGCATGTCCTCCTTTGTCGGATTGAGGTTCAACTGGGTGAGAAGGATCCGTTCGGCCTCGGGCGGGACTCGTGGGAGGTAGAACGCGGCCAGCTCGTCTTCGGTCCAGTTGTTCCAGTTGTATGCGGCTATGTAAGCCTCAGGTCGTGGATGAGTCGGTCGTGCGTCACTGCGTTGGGGTCACCCGGAGCGCTGAAGCCACGTGGAGACTCGAGGAGCCCATAGTCAAAGAGACCGTACTGACAAATGTATGAGTGTGAGTGGCGGGCAGGGAAGGAAGGGACACGAAGGAATGAAACTAGACGTGAGCATCGAGGCTCTTGTACACAACGATGGTCAAGGGCGCCAATAAGCGCCTCTCCCTTGGTAGTTGTAACGCCTTCTCAAGAGCAAAGTGGCTTTGTCAAAGCCACACACGCCAAACAGCCACATCAATAAGATAAGCACCACGAAGAGAAGACGCACAGTGCTAGTCCCTGGCGGCCACACCACAGCCACATCACGGCCACGGACTTGGACGTGACCACATCAGCCCCGTCACTTCCTCCACAACGTACTGACTGTTAGCTTTGTGCTGAGCATTCAGCTCTGGCGAATAGAACTAACCAGGTACCTAGCCATGCACAAAACACAAGAGTCAGCCGGAGTGCACGAGATGACAGCGAAACCGCAGAACAAGCGGAGATACCAAGTGTTCGAACAAAGGATTGCATAGCAGATCTTGTGGTTGATAGCAATTGCCGTTCAATAGACGCTGTCAAGAGGTGGTTGGCACATTGTCACCTCCCACGATCGTAGCAACTCAGAGGTAAAGAGCATGTATAATTTAATCGTTCCATCCTATGCAATAACATCGGAGAACACACCCATCGCTAGACCTTACAGCTCCGCGGCATCGTGGGCAATCTCCTCCTTGATCTCCTCAGGAACTCCGACACAGCCTTGAACGCGCTCAGGATGTTCGCCTTGATCTTGATCTCGTCGAGCTTGCTCGGTGCGAGAGTGCGCTTCTTGAGGATCGACGCGAGACTGCACCCCCAACCCGTATCAGCACCGATCTCCTCCGCGTTTCGAAACGAACATGGACGTACCGGTTCGTCTCCTTCTCGAGGTACTCCTCGCTGCCGTTGACGACCTTCTCCATGACACGGAGGTACTGCTTCGCGCCGGAGCCGATCGCGGCCGCGAGCTCACCCGCCTCCTTGAAGATCGCCTGGCGTGCGTCCGCGGCCTCGGCGAAGAACTTCCGCGCGAGCGCGTCGAGCTCCGCAACGCGGCCCGCCTTGTCGTTGAGAAGACCGCCGACGGAGCGGTGGGTGCCGCACATCTCGTTCAAGTACTCGACGAAGGCCTCCTCGGTGCGCGCCCCGTCGTAGTCGACGGGCTCGGAGGAGCCCTTGGGGAAGAACTTGATCGTGGGGAACGAGCCGATCTCGTACTTGGTCGCGAGCGGGCGGTTGTTCTGCGCATCGGCGTCGACGTTGGTGACGAGGCACTGGACAGACCGTCAGCTCCAACTGAGGCGACAATGTCTCTCCCGCACAGGGACAAGGGGGAGCTCTTGTGATTCAACGCAAGATGTAAAGGAGTGACCTACGTTAGGCTCGTTCGCGAAGTCCTTGGCGACCTCTTCGTAGATAGGCTTGAGACGCTTGCAGTGACCGCACCACGGGGCCGTGAAAGCTACGATAACATCCTTTTCTGCGTCGAGGGCGACATTGTCGAAAGTGTGGGCGTCGAGAACCTGGTACGCGGGTGGGGGAGGGGGCTTAATGTTCGACTTCACGCCGGTTTTCATCGTAATGCTGCCCGGATGTGCGAACAGTTAGCAAAAGCTCCATAGTGACACGAAACGGAGTAGATAGGGTCAGGAGACTTGTGTATAGGCTCATCTCCGTGCATTCAGAGACCTTAAACCTGTTGTAACATCATACCCAAAGCCGAGACGAGAGGTAGATAGAGCGACACGTGGAGCGAAACCATACATTCCCATCGGTGAGATGAGAGCGCAGGCATACAGGATGCAGATGTGGGTCGGGTGCGAAGTTGCCGGGAAGGGATTCACGTAACCGTGGAGGTGTGGGAGGAGGAAGAGACTCACAATTCCACGAACGCATCAAGGTCGCGTCCACCCTCGTACTTCACGGGCTCCCCACCGTCCGCATCAAACCACTTCAGCGCTGAAAAAGCAGGCGGAGTCAGGCATCATGCATTGGGACAGCACACGCAGCATAGCTGAACTCACTGGGGTAACCCGTCACGCCGTACTTTTGACCCAGAGGCTTGCCGGCACCGTCCGCATCGACCTTCGCAATGACAACCTTGCCCTTGGCATGTGCATATGCATCCGCAAGTTGCTCGTAGACAGGTGCGAGGTTCTACAAATGTGTCAGTCCAGATATATCGGACGATACAGCATGTACGCGCGTACTTTGCAGTGTCCACACCAAGGAGCAAAACTACAGAAGTGATTGAGCAGCATTTTCATGAGGTTTTTGGCGACCAACTCACAACTCGACCAAAGCGGGCTTGCCCTTGCCAACATGCTCATCGAAGTTGTCTGGAGTCAGCTCAAGGACGTTAGAGGCGAACGCCGCGCCGATGGACAGCGCAGCGGCGAAAAGAGTCGCAAACTTCATGAACGGGTCGTCAAAGGGGTGGTGGAGGTAGAAAAGGAACCGGAGGTGGTGGTGGTGGTGGTCGCTCTCGCGAACCTTTAAGTTTGTCAGAGTGCGCGCGGCTGAGAAAGTGCGACGTGGAGCCTTAGAGTTTGGTCACGTGACTGCCGCGCAGCGCAAAGCGCACCAGGGTCTGAGGCGCCCACTCTCTGTTTATTCCTCCCATCTCGCCTCGCACCTATTCCCTCCTCTCTGAGCCTTCTCAACTCCTGTACTCAACTCTCACTTGTTAAGCTCTTTTTGTTGCGGCATTGAACATCTACATTGGCGGCTTCCTACGGCTACCTTGACACTGCAAGCGAACAGTTTGAAAACAACATGTCCTTCGACTGTCCCGACTTGATCGCGAGTAAGGATCAAGCGCGCGGTGGTCGGCAACGGCGCACGAAGAGCATCGGGGTGCCTCTGCTCGTGTCCGGTCCGTAAGATTTACTGATGCGCTGCTCCTGGGGTGAATGCGGGCGGGACGCGAGAGGTGCGCAGGGTGGAATGGACGAGACGAAGACGAGCTCGCGTGATCGCATATGCGCCCATGGATATGTTGCGTATACATCGTCCACATCGGTCAGCGCAGGCGCATACACCTGGATACCGCCTTGACGATGTACTTTAAGCTGACTCTTGACTGCATTCGATCTATTACAAGGTGAATAGTGGTGCTACTGTGACAAACCATTGCAGTGCGTTGTTCACCAAGGTTCCCATTTCTGGTAGGACTGCTCCGATTCGTTGGTATACTGTTGCCACTCCGCTTCAACAAAGCACTGACGTGCCTCACGATGCCACTCAAGACAGAGCCACTCGATGATGCTCTTCAACGTCGTATTTAAGGAGAGTTCGGTGCGCCTTCTCATCTCCATCTTCATCTGTTCCTGATCCTCCTTCCTGCCACTCACCCCCTTCTCCTTACAATCTTCAGCTCCGAGACCCATGGCGAACAGGCGTACCAACATGGCGACATCTGCGGTGCAGCACACCGCGAATCCTGTCGACGCGGCCGCACCTCTGCATCTCGACCTCTCGCCCGAGCTCGAACAGGTTCTGCTCGCAGAAAGCCTCTTCCTGACCACCGAGGAAATACTTGCCCTCTCAGGTCGCCTCAATCTGAATCCCTTGGGTCTCGTGCACTGGTGAATGCTCGCCGGCCGCCTCCACTCGCCGCTATGCGATTGCTAATCGCATCCCAGGTTCTCCATGCGCCGAGTGCGCATAGGCCACGTCATGGGCCCGAGCTACTGGAGGGACGAGTTCAAGCCGTACATGCGCCTGATCGCACGGCGGGCCTCGCACCAGGACAAGCTCAAGTCGCTCGTCGACACCATCTTCTACACCATGCACAAGTACAAGTGCCCGACCTGGGAGCAGGTCGTCGCGCTCGCGCAGCTCCTCGACTGCGGCCCGGAGGAGGTCGCGAAGCGGTGAGTCCGTCCTTCCCTCCCCATTCCGTCGTCTCGTCAGCCCGCGTGCTCATCTTCGGCTTGACTGCGCGCAGGATCTGCACGCTGCGCGTCGGCGACCCGGACCTGCGGCAGATCTCCGCGGAGGAGTGGGACGAGCGGTGGGCGCCGCTTCCCGAGACGGGAAACGCTGGGGGGTTCGGTCTGTGGGGGACTTTCTGTCAGTGCCGGACCCCGCCGAGTGAGGAGGATTATCTGAAGATTGCGATCGCGCACGGGGTGTCGACGATGCATGTCAAGCGCAAGTGAGTGGTTCGGGATGCACATCGCGTCGATCAGGCTGACGGGAAATGTGTTGCAGGTTTGCGGTGTTTCGGTCCTACGCTGTTAGAAAGTAGGGGTCGGAGTCGATTCGCACCTCCAGAGCACATTGTCAAACTGGTGGCCTCGAGGTCAATCATTTGGACGTAGGCTGCGACGTTGTTTTTGAAGGCGTCCCGAGCGCGATGTACTTGCTTTCCACTTTGGAATGCATTTGTGTTCGATCCGGTTCAGCTGATGAGTGCGCTACGACTACTACCACCCTTGATAGGCATGGATCGCTCTTCTCGGACAACGCCGCCACCTTTCCACTAACTCGAAGCCAAAGCATCATCGATTGATTCGTTGCCGAACAGTATAACTTCTCTGCCTTCCACGTCTAGAAGTACCATCCGAACAGAATAATCAAATAACGCCGTGAAATGACAAAGTAAACCCAGCACGTAACACAAGCTCCGCCCTACTTCACGCCACAGAGGCCTAGAATTAGAAGCCCCGCGCGCGTCCCGTGCTCCTCAATCACAGCGCATGAAGCGCAGCGTCCGAGATCACCGCGGCTTTGTGCACACACCGCCCCGACGCCCGTCCAAACCTGGTGCACAATGAGGCCCTGCGGCCGCCTGCGAACGCGCGCGTGCGCTCGATCAGCACCAGCTCGCCGTGTTATGTCGGCACTTGTCACTTACCTGGCCGCTGCGTCTTCTAATGTGCAGGGGCGCCGCGCCCCGCGGGGCTTGTGAGACGCAGGCAGTCTGCATGAAAGCATGAGCCGCGCGGATATCGCGACGTCGGAATTCGACATTCCGATGCGCTCGAGAGGGGTGCGTGGATATTGCCATTCGTCTTCTGTTTCATTTCCACGGAGCACTCTTCTGGGCCGTCGTGCATTAGTTATTCCTGACAGCCATGACCGGCTCGGCGCGTTAAGCCGACCCTGCTTAGCATCAGAAAATGCCCAAGCCATACTTTACTTACGGCAAACTGTTGAAAACATCTCCGAGGACATCAATGGCGAAGCTCTGTACCTGTTGCACAAACTATTTCGGCCGACGATCGGCATGTGCGTTCGGAGTACTGAACGTTCAACCTTCGTCCCTTGATACCTCTGCGGTTAACAGCGGTGCCAAAATCTTCAAACCATGCAGGGCGAAAATGAATCAGTCAGTACGGTACATCCCTGCAGCTCCAAATTTCGCAATCCCACCCTTGGACCGGGGCTGTCCGACTTACCTTCCACCTTCCCTCCACGAACTCTACCCTCGCCGCGGTCTCATGCGTTCCTGTAACCCGGTCTCCCCACGCGCTCCCCCAATCTCGCGATGCATCTTCCGCAGGCATCCTCGCTCCTGTCCTGGCTGTGCGCGCCGTCGGGCCCCGTACCCCATCCTTCTGCATCCCGGTCTAACGTCGGTATTCCCGATCCAGCAACTGAGCTGCCTTTTCCGGCATGCGGTGTCGAGTCAACGAGCCCGGTTCGGGGTGCGGTGGGAGCACGGCGCGAGGGATGCGCGCCCGAATTTTGCAAGAAATCCATGGGGCGGAAAGCGCCATCTCCTGACGGTCTTGGAGCCTGGCAACTCCCGTACCCTAGCTAGCGGGCGCTTTCCCCGGCGGGGTGCCTGGAACCTGCAAGCTGTACGTGAGCGCGCGATGTTCGGAGTCGGGTGAGCCGTCTCAGACGTCCAACTTGGTGCGTACATACTGAGCTCAGAATCGCAGCGCTGGAAGAAAATACCCCCGCGCGCGACCGCGAGCCCCTCGACGCCACCAGTTCGCAGCGCGCGCCGCACCGCACCACCACCTCAGCCATCTGAGTCTATGCTCAACGCCTCGCTGCATCGCGACCGCACCAGCCCCCACACGGCCGTCATGGCGACTTCACATCACAACACCGAGTCCTCAAGGCCTCACAGCTCCGCGACGTCGACCGCGCCACCAGTCTACGACCAGCAGTCGAGGTTCGGCCTCACGTCCCGAGCGTGCCCAATCGAGCGAAGACAATAAGCCCCCAGTGCACGCCCACGCCCGCGCCCACGCCCCAGGCTGGCAGGCGCGACCCCCGGGGCAGCTGATGCGCATCCGCACGGCGCTGGAGGGCCGAGAAGCAACACCCGGCGTCGCTGCACGTCGGCCGGGCCACTCAATCTGCGCGCGAGGGCGCGCCGGGTCCAGTCCGGTTCTACTTGTGCGCGCGCGGATACATATCCGGGGCGCGTGGCCTCGTTCTGTGGGATTCGGAGATCGCGATATGGTCAGCGGTGGGGACCAAAGCCCTCAGCGTTGTAGGGACTCACGGACATGGGCTGTCGCACAACCTCCCGCGCTCAGGTACGTGCCTTCCGCGGGCCTGCGATGTCGGCTCCGGCCGCCGCGTCCCTCAAAAACCAAGAGGACGTGCGCAGTGAGTCCGCGGGGTCCTGGCAATGTGGCCGCCCAGTCGGCCTGCGAGAAACACGCCCGATGTGCCGCGCCATCGAGCGATTGAATTAGAGCTGCGTCCCTGCTCATGCGGCCAGTCCCCACCCCATGCCACGAAGGAATCGCGCATAACACCGATTCCGGCGCAGAACCCCGGGCTTCTGCATCTTCGAACGCGGGGTGAGCTCGTGACCTTCGCTCGAGCGAGAGACTAGAAATTGCGGACCTCGCGCGGGAACGCCGGGTTCGAAACGAGGCACCGTCCTCCGCCGACGCGGCGCGGGGGTGCCAACCTTCGCGAGCCCCCAAAGGTTCGCGCGGAGCGCAGAAACCTGACAGGGCCCACGTTCATCTCGCCGTCGCGCGCGTGCCGGCCTCTCCCGCCTCTCTACGGCCGCGCCTTCCAGGCGCGCCGCGGACCCGTGATCGACGTCGACGTGCGCCTGGGGCCGGAACAAGTCGAAGCTGCGCCGCCACCTCGAGGATGTCGACCGCACCTGACGCCGGCCTTGACGTGCGCGCGAATTTACGCTGCCGACGGTCTGGGGCGCATCAACGCTGTCGGCGGACGAGCGAGGACGGCGCTGATCAAGGAAAGCGAGGTCAGCGCGGGCGCCAGTGGCGCGAGCTAGAAGCGGGGACTCACCGCTCGCCGGCGTTCATGGCTAGGACGCCGTCGGGCATGTGCTCCCGCACAAATGGGGTTGTGAGCGCCCCGCGGCTCGGACGAACCCTCGGCGGTTGATGCTCCTCAATCCCTTCTCGGGCGCGATGCGTAGACGTGTCGCGCGTTGCTAGATGATATGCTGGATGCAGCCAAAAGCGGGTCACTTTGTGAAGTTGAGGCCGCCGCGAGAAATAACCATGTTCAGTCGACGCCCGAACAAATATCTTACCGTGAGGTCGCCTTCGCTTCGCAACCCCGCCATCTGAAACTCAAGGTGTGCTCGATTTCCCTGGCCAACGTCGTGCGCAGTGACAGTCGTGTGCTCAAGACCGTCGAAGGCACTCCCCGTCGGCGCGCGCTCCGGACCGCGGAGCCATCCCCGAATGCGATGGACAATGGGGGTTCCAGTAGACTGTGAGAAGGCAACATCGACATTGATCAGACGGAGTCAGCTTCGGAGGGACATAGCTCGGGCGCACTCACGTCTCGTGTGCCGATATGGCGCTTCTGGGCGCACAACCGCAGTTTGTGAATCTCGTCTGTGAAGAACAGGGCAGCGTGGTGCGCGTTTAGAGCGTACTGACCAGTCTATCTGGAACTCCGTCAGATCCAGAAAGGAGTGGAATGCCTTGGAACGTGACTGTTTAAAGGAGTCAGACACCATCTCGGGATGGGAAACGGTACTCTGTAGACGGCACTGTGCAAGCAGTCAACACAGTAGGTTCACATGCATGCAGCCAGCGTTACCTATACGAGCTGCATATTAACTCCGAGTGATTGGCTGCGGGTCCCGAATCCTAGCTGTGAGTCAAGGAAGTGGAGATTGCGAGGAAGTCGAGGAGCCTGGCGCGGCGTGCGCCCTAGTCAGCCCCGGCCGTCACGGCAGCCGAACGGTTCCTGCAAATGCACGCAACTCCAAGTCAGCCATTCTTCTCTTCATATGGACAGCAGAGCCGGGCGCCTACGGGTTTCAGCCTCCCTGCAGCCAGCAGGGACGCCGCGCGGCCCTTGAGACTAGCCCGGGCTGATGTGCGGTTCATCTTCGAGGAGCTGCGCCCATCCTGTCCGTCTCGGCCTAATATATGTGGTCCTGTCTTGCAGATACGGGATCACGGACGACGAACCTGGTGAACAAGTCACGATGACGCATTACCGAATGCGGTAGTGTATTACCATTTTGGGACGCAAGTGTCGAGTCGACCTGGTGTCCACTCTGACAGCTACGGAGCCGCTGGTCGGCGTAACACACCCGCACACGAGGCACAGGGAACGGGGTTCCGGAGTCCGTGCCTGGCGCAATGTGCATCCGCTCGTGGTGGGCTCCGTCCGGGCGCGGCGTCGGTGGGAGACGGGGCCCGACGCCGGCGTTGGTGTGTGCAACACGCGCTGCGATGCGCCGCCAAGACCGGGAAGGACCACGCGGGGCCGTTGGGAGCGGTGCGCAGAGAAGTGCGAAGTGGCCTCATCTTGCGGCCCGGGTCGTCGCTGCTCCCTCGTCCTCGACGACAGCTAGCTCGGGTCCCATGGCGACGCCCTGCAGTACAAAAGCAGAAGATTTAGAAACCACACGAGGCTCCTGCGCGACCAGATGCGCTAGGGCTTGAGGAAAGGTCTCAGAGCGAGCGAGAGCGATCGGAAGCGGTGCCCATATCGAGCGAAGACAATAAGCCGACTGGCGCCCGCGCGCGGGCAGCTGATACGGGTGGTGAGAGGAGGGCAGAGCCAAATTAAAACCAGATGCCGGCCAAGGTCCGAGATCGTCGAGGGATGGACGAGGGAGGGGAAGATCGGGAGCGAGGCGATAAGAAAGGGCGCTTATTGTGTATAATTCGCGCGCGACCTGTGGTGTATCGAAGTAGTCTGTAGTGACATTGATTTATGGCGCAATTAAACCTACGAGTAGACCAGAAGAGTAAGTTTGATAAGGAAATAGAGACGGTTCTCAACGAAAGAGGCTCGCGCATACTTACGGACACAAGCTCCGTGGACGATCGGAAGGCACTCTTCGAGGCGCCGCCGCCACCCTGTTGGTCGCTAATCTCGAATCGCACAGATCGCATACCTCCCGCGTTTGGCCTATCGCCCCCTGCCTGCTGGAGCGAGTGACAAAGCTCGTGGTGAGGTAAGTCGAGGAGAGAGGCCGGAGGGACCATCGCACCATCGCGTAACGCTCAACTTTCGCCCATGTCACGGGGCTACGCGTGCCTCGGTTCGGAGTCGAAGAGGACTTCGCGGACGGTGCTCGGACGGTGCGCCCCGCATGAGGTTAGCGCGCTCGGGGCGCTCGGAGGAACAGCGGTCGCGGGGACGCTGTCTTCGAGAGCGGAGAAGGGCGTTAGACGCGCGTGCGACACGCTAGAATGAGTCTGCGCACCAAGTTGAATTCCCACTGAGTATTCGTCCGATTGGACGTCTACGCGGGCAGCTGGTGGGAGCAGTATCACCCGGGGGCGTGCTCGACGTGGCACCGACGAGCATCTCGGTTCTAGCATAGAACTGGAAGTATGAATCAGGTTAGAGGTTGAAGGTGGGGATCAGAAAAAACGGCGGACCTGAGGAGATGTGTGTGTCCTCGGTGAGAAATGGAACAGGCGGAAATGCACAATCGATGGCTTGCTGGAAGGTCGGTATCCTCGTGGGCAGACTCCTGGCGGTCGCCGCATGGGGAATGGTCTCGTGAAGACTAAGCAGTCCGGTGTTCCGCCGGGGTCGGGTGAGAAGACAGGGTTTGTGCCGAATGCCGTGTCGTAGGCCTGCGGACCGGGAGCTTGAAGCTGAGGCACTTGACATATCCGGTGCGCTAGCTGCATGCTTCTAGGCTCTGTCCCGAGCGCATGATGCCTTCCAAACGATCAAGAAGACGATGGCGAGAACTCGGAGACGAAGGTGGTGGTCGAAGGCGAAGTTGAGTAGCCTGCAGGCAGAGACGCGTGTCGGCCCGGGCGCTCGCGTGGCGGCGAGGCAGTGCGGGGGATGGAACACTGACATGAGTTGACCCGGAGGCAACTCCGAGGCCTTCGTCATCGGATCCACTCTGGGTACACTTGGCTCACACCCAACACTGCCCTCTCTCTCAGCCGGCCTGTTTTCTTCCCGCTCCGCGCGTCTTCCCTCCTTGCTTTCAACCTCCATTGCCTCGGATACCCCACACGACTGCTGCTTCAACTTCTCTCGCAGTAGATTCCGAACAGTCCACTATCCAGCTAGTCTCTCTGTTTCTACAGGACAACCCTTCTTCAACATGTACATGCCTTTTGTGACGGAACTCGGGAAGCAACTCTACCCACGGAGAGGCGGCGGGGCGAAAGGCGGAAAGTCCGGATCATCGGGAAGGTGAGCATCCCGCGGGCTCGACGGCTTGTCCGGAGGTTGAGGTCTTGTGGCTTCTTTAGTTCCGGATCTAGTGGCAGCGTCGGCAGCCGAGGTGCTTCTGTTCCAGTAACTGGATCGACAGTGGGCCGGACAAACGCGGTCTCGTACGGGTCGGGGACGACGAGGGTCGTCACCATCCCCTCAGGCCAGCTCTTTGCAGGGAGGACATCAGGGGGAGCGACCAGGACGGATGTGTACGGGAATCGGTGAGTGTATGCGCGCCTTTGTTCCATCTCTGGAGTTCCAACCCTCGTGCAGGTTCTACGGAAGTGGCTACCCTGGAGTGGGCGGGGTTGGCGTCGCTGGACGCAACTTCCCCTTCGTCTACTGGCCACTCATTTGGGGCGGAGGGTTTGGATATGGTGCCGTTTATTTGCACAATCGCGAGGTGAGTTTCTCGTCTCTCACTGCGCCGCAGGACTGCATGCCAACGTTGGCTCCCCACGTAGTACGGCGACCCGAACAACTCCTCGCGCCCGGGCGGGCCTATGGCCCAGGCCGTCATCTCCTCCCAGACGCAGAACACGACCTTCCACATCGTTGCGGACAACAGCACTGTCGCCGCACTCATCGAATCGATCGCTGCAAACTGCACGATCGCGTCTAATTCGTCAACAGTCCCAGTGCCGTTTAACGCAGGCCAGACAGACCCACTCCCGGAGCAGGCGATCGAGTACTACCGCGCAAGTTCCGTCGTGCTCACGCTCGACGGGTACAACAACACCAACGCGCTCACCGCGGCCAACGAGAACGTGTCGGTCGCCGATCTTCCTAGCAACATCGACACCACGCTCCTTGCGTGCTTGAACGACACGATCGGTGAGGCGACACCCTTATTCGAGGACGCGGGGGTGGGATTGAGGCCAAGTATGGGTCTTTTGGGTCTCGTGTACGTCGTCTGGTGTCTTTCGACGTTGTTCTAGTTCCCGCCTTCGGGTCACCGCCCTCCCGCCCCGCCCTTCGTCCCCCGTTCATGATTTTTTCATTACCTATGTGACATGACGATAATCGCATACCCTGGATTGACCTTGTCGGAGCACGGACTTTGCTCGATATCGCTTTACATCCCGGGTGGTCCCAGCGCCCTCGGTACTGCATCCTGTACGTTTGTAACACTGGTTGTCGTCGCTTCGCCCTTTTAGAGGGCATGATACCAATACCATCCTGTACATTTTGCATGATTTGAAATCGATTGATGCCGACCAGCGTCCTTGCATGCGAGGCAGTTCCGTGGCAGGTGCACTGCATTGAGGCAGTGCCGGCCCAGTACCGCGCACGGTGCGTCCCCTCGCAACTTTCCTCACCCCGTCTGTGCTCACATCGCTTTCCGTCCACAAATGGCACTTTTCGTCTTCGTATGTTTTGCTTGATGTCGGCTGACGGTGGCGAAGACCTGCGATCTTATGATACGAATTTTGCAGGCTGTGAAGTGTCTTGCCGGCGGGCCTGATAAAAGTGCGGTCCCATCGCGGCGTCGCGACATCCGCCACCACTCACCACCGTCCCTATCGTCCTCCCTCTTTCTGCAGCTTCTTACCTTCCACCACGCACGCGGCGCACGTGGGCCTCGAACTTAACATCTCGAAACCTCGATCACTTCGGACTTCTCTGGCATCTCGCATATACCCATCCCAAGCCAAATGTACATCCCCTTCGTCTCGAACAGTGCCGCCCGCGCCCGCGCCGACGCCTTCTCCGAACTCCTCGACGCCCACCTCCCACGCCTCCGCAAACGCTCACCCATCCCCGACCCCCGCGGCGGTGGCAGCCACGGCTCCTCTGGCAGTCACGGCTCAACAGGCACAAAAGGCTCAACGGGCTCGACCGGGACGAAAGGCTCCACTGGTTCGACGGGTTCGACGGGCTCGACGGGCACGCACGGGGGATACCGCCCGCCCTTGGGCTCGACCGCAGACCGCACGCCGGTGAGCGTGAGCGGGCCGACGCACGGGCTCGGGAGCGCGGTCGCGTACGGCGCGGGGAGCTCCCGCGTCGTCTCGATCCCGAGCGGGCAGCCGTTCGCGGGGCGGACGTACGGAGGGGGCACGCGCGACGGCGTGTACGGCACCTGGTGCGTCTCCCTTCTTCTGCCGTCGTCGACGTCGTGGGGAGAGAAAGGCTGACTCGAGCGCGGACAGGGCGTACGGGAGCGGGTACCCCGGGGTGAGCGGGTACGGCGTGTCGGGGCGCGGCTTCCCGTACACGTACTACCCCGTCGTGTGGGGGTACGGCCCACCCTACAGCCCCGTATACTTGCACAACCACGAGGTGCGCGCCCTCTCCCTCCCTCCGTTTTTCCCCAGTACTGACTCCGCGCGACGACGACGCAGTACGGCGAGCCGAACAACGCCTCCCGCCCCGGCGGCCGCGAAGCCCAAGCCGCGCTCTCCTCCGCGTCCTCCAACACGACACTGCACCTCATCGCGGACGCCTCGACCGTCTCCGCCCTGCTGTCCTCCGTCCGCGCCTCCTGCGCCTCCTTCCTCTCCGCGGGCTCCTCCTCTGCCGCCCCGTCCGACTTCGACGGGAACGCGAGCGCGCCGTTCGCGGAGCAGGCCGTGCAGTATTACCGCGCGAGCTCCGTCGCGCTCACGCTCGACGGGTACAACAACTCCGCCGCGCTCGCCGCGAACGCGAGCGCGATGACGCCGCTCCCGGGGTGGGTCGATGCGGGGCTCCTGAACTGCGTGAACGCGACGGTGGGCGCGAGCGTGCCGCTGTTCGGGGACGCGGGGACGGGGAATGGGGCGGCGGGCCTGGGGGCGGGGGTGCCACTCGGGCCGCTGGTCGCGCTGGTGGTCGTGCTTTTGAGCGCGGTTTGGTAGAGCTGGTTCGGGTGAGAGCGGACTCGGCGGGACGATTTGGGAGATGCGTGCGGACTTCGCGCTCGGTGAAGCTTGTCCTCGCTCCTTGTATTGTACTGTGCTTATACCCCCTCGATAATCAGATACCCACGGCCATCCCGATTGGTAACATAAAACTCAATGGCTTTGAGAGCGCGTGCTCGGTGGCTGATTCCTGTGTCCTTGGTTCGCACGTGTCAGACACACGAATATCCAGATGCGTTCAACGATATCCCATTATCTGTCCAGAACCAGACGAGGCCATCCACTTGACATACGCGGTGACGCTTTGGGTCAAGAGGATGTCCAAGCACGCCGCTCCCGCCTCTAAACCTCAGTGGCTCACGAGCCCCTTTATAATCCGCGACCACAAATCCCCCACCTTGGGTTCGCCATCGCCACTCACGCTTCCTTCCACGCCCCGTCATGTTCTACGAAGACCCAGTTCCCCACCCGCTCTTCGTGCACTCCTATTATGAACCAATCCTCCCCGACCTCCCCGAGCTGATCCAAACCGAAGACGCGCACTTAAAGTTAGTGCTAGAGAAGCGCCGAGGAGGTGGCGCCCGCGGCGGCGGCGGCAAGTCCGTTGGGAAGTCCAGAGGCTCGCACCCCCCGTCCTCGTCGTCCTCATCTGGCGCGCGCGCGCCAGTGAACATCGGGGGCGCAACGCACGGCGCGTCCATCGCCGTACCGTACGGCGACGGGAGCGCCAAGGTCGTGCCCATCCCCGCCGGGGAGCCGTTCGCGGGCCGGACGTACGGGGGCGGGACGCGGGCGAACATCTACGGGACTTCGTACGTGTGCGCGCGACTACTACTCGAAAGTGTGCTGAATAAACGCATACAGGACGTACGGGAGCGGGTACCCGGGGCTGCGCGCGGGCGAGGTGGCCGGGCGCGGCTTCCCGTTCGTGTTCTGGCCCGTCGTGTGGGGGACCGGCGCCGCGTACACCGCGGCGTACCTGCTCGACCAAGAGGTGCGTGAGCCATCTCTTAGCGTCCAACGTCCCGTGCCCCTCGAGCGCTCACCTCGCCCCCGTCCCCGTCCAGTACGGCGCGCCGGACAACGCCACTCGCCCGGGGGGCCGACTCATGCAAGCCGCGCTCCTCGCCTCGGCCTCGAACACGACGCTGCACGTCCTCGCCGACGCCGCGACCGTCTCCGCGCTGCTGCTCGCGCTCCAGGAGAGCTGCGGGGCCGTGCTCGTCCCCGGCTCGCTCGCGCCGAACGCGTCCGTCGCGTTCGACGGGGACGGCGCGCGGCCGCTGCCGGAGCAGGTGGTGCAGTACTACCGCGCGAGCAGCGTCGCGCTCGCGCTCGACGGGTACAACAACTCGGCCGCGGTTGGGCGCGACACGCGCGCGGACGCGGGCGCGACGCCGCTGCCGGGGTGGGTCGACGGTGGGCCGCTCGCGTGCGTGAACGAGACGATCGGGGCGAGCGCGCCGCTCGTCAGCGCGGGGTGCTCGGAGAGGGGAGGCATGGGACACCGTGTGTGCACGGCGTTGTGTGTGCTGCTTGTTGTCTTTTTTTGCTTTAGGGTGGTAGCTAGCTTGGCGACAGTATCGACGGAGCCCTTGTTCTGTGCCGTTTACGCTGGGTCGAGACTCGACGAGGGGGCACCCGCGCCCGTCGGTGGCGGCACCTGTCTGAGTTCCGTGAGCGTCCGCGGTGCGGCCGACTCCACCCGTACGCACCCTGGGTCTGGCAGGTCTCCATTTCCATACCGCTCCGTTCCCCGTCCCGGCGGCGGCGCGCGCGCCGACCCACAAACGCCACGGCGATCACCCAGCCTCGAGCGCGGGACGGAGAGCCCCACGTCCTCCGTCCTCTCTCCGGGGAAACCGAGGACCGAGGACCGATCGCTCCGCCGCACGATCGCCCCGGGACGCCAGGACGGGGCAGGAGGCATACACATGGACCCACACCCCTCGGCAGCCGCAGCGCAACTCTCCCCGCAGCAGGGGTCGCGCGGCACAGCCTGTCGCGCGCGCGCGCGATCGGCCGGGCATCAGCCAACGCCTACCGCCGCACGATCGCCCCCAGTCGGGGAGGAAGGCGCAGGGGTGGCACGCACTCCCATGGCTCCCCGCGGGAGAGAGTTCGAAGAGGCAGCTGCGGTGGGGGGCGCGCGACCGCAATAGACGCGGGAAGTCTGGCAGCCTGCCTTTCCGGGCGGGCGTGCGCGGGCGGGGGCGCGGGGAAGCGTGCGTGCGTGTTCCGAGAGTTCTGTGCGTGCCGTGTGTGGACTCGTGTGTGGGCGTGTTGTACAGGTGGCGCGGGAGGATCGTTTGCGGAGTCGGGGACCCGGGGGGCTGGGATGCGGTATGTCAGATGCGACATAGTGGATGCGAGGTTGGTGACAGGTCTCCAGGGCTACTCATCTGCTATTGATGTGGAATATCGACGAGGCGAGTTCCCTGTGGGGTGGTAAGGCTTTCTAGGCTGGATGTATACGGTGGGTGAGCGAGTTCATCACGGAGTGGTGCTGGACGTAGAAGTCTCGTTTCTACCAGAGATCGTCTACATTGGAAGTAATTTATCCCAAGTTTCTTACTGATCTGCCGCTGGTGTTGATAGCAAATTAAAGCGTCTTGAACACTTGAACCTGCGCATGAGAGACAGCGACAAACCCACGAGCGTGCAAGATTCAGCCGTAGTCAAGCCCCGCAAACTCACATGCTTCCACCCAATGACGGCTCCCTCGACGCCACAGCAACCCCCGCAAAAATACACGCACCAGTCGAGCCAGCCAGCGCACGATCCCGCGCGCACAACGGCCGTCGAAGGAGTCGAGGACAAAGGGCCGCCTCCCCGGAAGCGCCCGCATACAAAGGAACCGGGCCCATCCGGACAAGCGCCCGCGCGCGAGCTGGCGGCTGGCAACGTGCTCCCACACCCCCGCGCAGCGCGGCCTTTGTCTTGCCCCGCCCATATACGACGGTCCTTCTGCGTCGCCGTGGCTCTCCTTGCTCCTTTGCGCCTTCTCTTACCATGACCCTCTTCGCTCCGCCCGCGCCGACGCCATTGGCGACCACTGCCCCCAAGACGCCAACAGAACGTGCACGGCACGAGGCACGCCCGGCGATCTACGCACATACCACGCGATCGTCTTCGAGGCTTCAAGCTCTAGCCTGCGCTCTTGAGGAGACCTGTGACGCCGCTCCGACCACAGGGTTCGATATTCAAGGTTCCATCGCCCGACGACGACGTTGAGACACACGGAGCACACGCACACGAACGCACGACGCGTATCCTGCTCATCTATGCGCTTCCATTTCCGGTGCAAGCGCGTACGGACGGACGGACGGTGCGGAGAACGGTGACGGGGACGAACCAAAGTCCACACACAACACGCGGCGGCGGGCTGAGCGGAACGGAAGAGGGGCGGGGCGACGCGAGCGGCAAATAATGTCATAAGTGAGCAAACGGCCCGCCGACGCGCGCGCGTGCGGGGGAGCGGGGAGCTGGGGATTGGGCACGGGGCGGGGCGGGCGAGTGCGGACGTGAAGGGGGCGTGAAGGTGGGGGGTGGTGGTGTTGGTGTTGCAAGGGAAGGGACGAGGATGGGTGAGGCCTTGAGGGATGGGCGGCGTCGCGGGATGACGTGGTGGTGAAGAAGGGGCGGGCGCAATGGGTATCGAGCACAAGAGGGTTCGACGAAGGAGGGGGGGCGGGTGAAGGTGCGTATGCAAATAATGCGCGGTGGTGCGTGCGGGGTGGATGCGGGAACCATGATGTGACGAGATCGGAGGGCCGGGGGTAGGTAGGTGTTACAGAGACGGGAGACGAGAACCGATAAAACTACAGGTGGGGGTAGAACACAACAGGGAGTATACACAGGCAGCGCCAGCGCAGGCGCGCCATAACGAGGCAGGAGGAAAAGAGGAAGGCAGCGCACGTGTGAGCGAGGTGGAGGTGGGGTGGGGTGGGGTGAGGAGGAAGGAGAGGGAAGGTGAGTGCAATAATTTTACACGACGTACAGCGTTCAAGCGCGTGTCGTCGGCGCACGCCCGCGCGGCCGACGGGATCATCACCAGCCCCCGTTCATGGGGTCGTGCGCGTACGCCCCGAACGGGTCCGGCCCCCCGGGCGTCGCGCGGTCGTCATAGTCCTGAGCGTCCTGCCGCTCGTCGTACCGCATCCACTCCGGGCAGAGCGCGCTCCCCGCCGCGGGGCCCTCCTCGCACCCGGGCGCCGCGGCGGAGCCCGCGCCGGGCATCGCCTCGAACTGGGCGAGCCCGAGCTCGACGGGCGGGATCGAGCCGAGGTTGAAGTCCTCGGGCATGAGGCCCTCCATGTTCGCCCACAGCGTCTCGCCCGGCCAGAACCCGTACGGGAGGTCGACCATGCCGTCGACGGGCGCGTCCTTGCCGTCGAGCGGTTGCTGCTGCTGCTGCTGGTGCTGCGCGAGGGACATCATCTGGAGCGCGTCCGCGGGCGTGAACGGGCCCGGGTGCGCGGAGGCGGGCGTCATCGCGCCGTACGTGTCCGCGGGCGAGACGAGGGAGGAGGCGATCGAGTCCGCGGGGGACATCATCGGCGGCGCGTCGCGCGCGGCGGGGATGCTGAGCGCGTGGAGGAGCGGGCCGCCGACGACGCCGTGGTCGGTCGAGATGTGGAACATGTTCGCGTACGGGTCCTCCCCGGCTTGCTGATGGTGCTGTCGCAGGCTCCGTCAGCTCTCTCCGCCACCCTCGACGGCCGCCACACGGCGCCACGCAAGAAAGAAAACCGAAGACGGGGGCTCACCTGGAGGTCGAACGCGGGTGGCGCCTGGTACGGGCTCATGAACATATTGTCGTGCGGTGAGTAGTCGTAGCTTCTTAGCGGCGCGGACTCGCTCGGGGACGGGATGTTCGCCATCGGCGCGGGCGAGCGCCCCGAGATGCGCGGGACCTGCGTCGGCGACGCGGGGCAGGACGGCATCCAGACCGACGGCAGCTGGATCTCCTGGTACGGCGGCGGGGTCGGGGCGGAGGCCGCGCGGCGGCCGTGCCCGTGCGCGTGGGGGAGCGCGAAGCCGCGCGAGAGCGAGCGGGCGGGGGAGCCGGCGCCGGAGACGGGGAGGAGGAAGCTGAAGCTGTCGGACTCGGTGTCGGCGGCGCCCTCGGGCGCGGGGCGGAGCTTGCCTTTGTTGAGCTTTTCCTTGCGGCCCTTGGTCCGCTGGGGGCGGTAGACGTAGTTGGGGTACAGCGCTTCGTGCTCCTTCTTCTTCTCCTTCGCGAGCTGCTCCCAGTACGCGCGCTCGTCCGCGGGCAGGCTCTTCCACTGCTGGCTGATGTCCTTGCTCAGGTCCGCCTGGCGCTGCTTCTTCACCGGCCCGTCCTCGTCCTGCGCGGCGGCGGCCTCCTGGCGCTCCTCGCACTTGCGGCGGCGGAAGAGGATGAAGGCGTTCTCGGGGCGCTTGATGTAGTCGTCGTCGCCCTTCTTGGGCCTGCGCTCGCCGGCGTCGGAGACGGTCGATCTGCGCCTGCGGTGGGACGACGCCTGGGAGGAGGGCGGGGCGGTGGGGGAGGAGAGGACGGAGAGGGAGGAGTCGGAGCCGATCGAGGACGTGGGCGAGAACGGGCGCGGGGGCGGCGGGGTGCAAGGAACGGACTTGAGGGCGGGCTCGAAGGGCGAGGCGGAGGGCGAGGTGGGGAAGCGAGTGTCGGTGATAGGGAAGGTGAACGCGCGCGGGGTGGGCGAGATGATGGAGACCGTCGGCGGCGGGGCGTCGGTGGCGACGTGGAGGGCTGCGCGCGTGCGGAGCGGGAGGGGCGGGGGCGGCATCGCGAGGGCGGAGGGGGTGCGGGCGAGCGGAGGAGAGGATGAGTACGCCGCGGGGGGCGAGGTGGGGAGGAGAGACTTACTGCGCGCAGAGGCGTCGCGAGTGCGGTAGGCGGGCATGACTCTCGTAAGGAAGGAAGGCGGCGGTGGTGGCGCGGGGGACTCCTCGAGGCGGGTAATAGGGCGCTCGTGGACGAGGACGGCGGTGGGTGGCACAGGGCCCCGAGGAGACAATTGCGTAGGACGGGAGGGCAGACAATACGGGCGCGATCTTTATAGTATGCATGCGCGCGACGACCCAGCCCGCGCGAGATCCCCCGCGCGATCCTTCATTGTGCTCCCCCTTTCGGACGTGCACGGACCTCCCCCGCCCCCAGCGCCCGCGCCCCTCCCTCGGCGCCCTCCATTCCCTGCGCAAACAGCCGTCAACACCGAACGCAGCCGCCCGTCTTATTGTCTTGTGCTCGAAGCCCGGTCCCTGTGCCCGACTCCGCGGGACCTATCTCGCCTATTGTCGCCCGTCCTGGGCTGGCCATATGCCGTTATCGCCCGCGCGCTGCCTCCTCCCATAGCACGCTCGCGCGCGGCCCGCCCCCGCCCACACGCCGAGTCACCCGCCCCCATCCGGGCCCGCCGTCCCCCACGCCCGCGGGCGCGGCGCACACAGCGAGCGCGGGAGCGCGGTCGAGCTCTCGCGGCGGCCGACGGCGCATCAATCGCGGCGCGACTCGTGCAGGCCAGCACTGACAAGCGGCCTGTCGCCTGCCGCCGCGTACCGACGCCTCGTGCCGCGCGCTCTCGTAACGGGCCCGTAAGCGGCACGGCGCGCACGGGCGGCTGGCCAGAGCGTGAGCGTGAGCGCGCGTGCGCGCGCGCGAGGTGGAGAGGCGGGACGTCGGAATATCTCGCGCGCACGCGCACGAGCGAGTTCGAAGGCGAAGGTCTGCGCGCGCGCGGTGGGATTTCCAGCAGGGATCGGATTTTCAGCCGCGCCCGGCGTCGTGGGCTCGCCTCAGGGCCGCGTCTGTCTGCAGCCCGATCTCGCGTCCCCCAAAGATGGCACGCAGGCTCCGGCCGGGCGGACGGATCGCAGCGCCCGGCGTCCCGGATCTGGGCGGCAGACCCGCCTCTCCATCCTGCCCACCGCGGGTCTGCGCTCAGAGTTTGGGCCCACCCTCCACAACGCCCACCGTCGCCGCAGGGGCTTGCCCTCGCCCGATCGTGTTGCAGATCCGCGTCGCGACCACCTCTCCCCCCGTCCCGTCCGTTCTGAGTCTGACGCACCATGACTTCGACCTCGCCCACAACGCCCGCCGCCGCCGTCCCGCCCAGTTTGGTTCCGCGACGCTCCCGCCACTCCCGGACCAGGCTGCCGCGCCGCGGGCCCTTTCAACTTGCCCCGTGCGGAGGTTCGGGGGCGGTGCTCGCGCGCGTGACCCCCCCACGCTCAGGCCTCGGAAGTCGGCCCAGCGGGCCTGAGCGGGGGGGAGGGGGGGTTGGGGTTCGAACCCGCCCACGCACCGTCCTGACAGCGGAAGCGGTAGCGCTCATCCACAGCTGCCGTCGCGGCGGCTGCTTCTGCCCGCCCGGAGCTTCGCGCACGCGAGAGGGCACGTGACGGAATGCACGGACGCACGCCAGGCGTAACGGCATTTCTGGCCACAGCGACACGGAGCGCGGCGGACGGTCCGGAACGCGGGCGCGGGCTGCCTAGCGAGGCGGGGCGGAGGACGGATATGGCAGCATTGAGCGTCCCGTTTGGAGACTGCCCGTCCCCCGCCCGCCGCTCGGGCTGCGGGCCTCCCATCGCCCGACGTCTATCTGGGTGGATGGATGCGGGTACGCGACGCTAGCTCGCCATCGCCCTGCGCGCCGGACGGGGAACTTGGGTCGCACACCGGCCGGCGCGCGTGGTGCGTGATGGCCCTGCGGGAACGTGTGCGCAGGTCAATCACACCGCCAGTGCCCGGGAGGAAACGTCTCGCGCTCTCGTCATACCTTCGACATGCGCCCGCCTCTCCGTCTGCCGTCTGACAGAGCGTCTGCGTCTCCCTCCGGGGTCCTGCACCACTCGGCGAGCGCGGTCTGCGACCTGCCTGCGTACGTCAGGGCGGTGCGCGCGGAAGCGTTGGGGAAAAGATCGCACACCCGCTAAGCGAGCCACACTTCCGCCTTCGCGCCCGTCTGCCGCCGAGGGCTGAGCAGGGCGGAGGGGAGTTGTGCGCACGGCGTTGATGCGCGCGCAAGCGCAGAGCCCGAAGTTCGGTAGGAATATCCGAGACATACGAGCGCGCCCGTCGTCTGTTTGCGATCCTGTTTTCAGTATCATTGCGCAGGACAGCACGGGCTAGGGTACGTGCAACGTGGGCCCGCCGCGCCCGGCGCTCGGCGTGTCGGTGCGCGGACACTGGTCGCGTCCCTCCGCTGCGCTGGCGGAGGCCTCAGGGGCGGCCGAGTGCACCTGACTTGCTCGGGGGTTCCGCTATCTAACTTCCGGTATCTCATCGTCGCCGACTGCACTTACTATCGTGATGTCGCCTTGTGCACGACCGGGTCCGACGACGTCCAGAGACCATGCGCGCGACGAGCGCATCCGGGGACGCGAGGCTGTTCCGTTCCGTCCTCCGTTAAGCTGTCGCCGGAGATGATGCGTGCGATAGCCTTTAGCGACGGCTGACCAGGTCCTTGTCGTCATCAGCTCGGTTTGGGAAGGTAGGCCACATCGATATCTGTGCCGAGCGCCATCAGTATCGCCTTGTCGCCCATGAATGCATCACAGGGAGCTAACTCGCTGCGCTTTTCAGGACATGAACACGTTCGCCGTGATGGAACGGCGAGCCCGGATCGGTGACGGCGAGCCCGGATCGGTGACGGCGCTCATACAGTTGCGTACCATGCGTACCACTTCTTACGAGTAGGTGGTCTGAGCAGAGTGCGGCGGAATTTAGCTATAGGCTGCACGCACGAGGCAGACCAACCATCGTCCGTACCTTGGCGGCAACAACCCACTTCCAACGGGCACGTTATGATCGTACTTCTGTGCTGCACTGGATGCAAGAGCATGTGATAGAGGGTGATCCACGAACCTCCGTGAGCAGGAGCTGAACATTCACGCGCGACGCTGCCCATGTCCGCGGACGCAGAACCTGTGAACGCGCGCACATTCGGATTAGCTCACCCATCCACCCGCACGCGGACCGAACAGGCAGAGCTAGCACTTCATAGAACGGCGTAGCGTCATGTGCCGCCGTGCGTCCCGCCATCCATATCGGCCCCCCTCGGGGCACATGAGGGGCAGGACGCCGCGCTAGACATTGCGACACCCGAGCCACAGCCCAAGCCGGAACAAGGACTGGAGCAGGGCAGACGCACCGACTTCCGCGCCCCGACTCGCGATCCCGGCGGCGACAGCTCCTCCGCCCCGCGATCGCCCATCGCAGTATAGCGCGGCCGCGTCGCGTCGGGTAGTTAATGTTACGGGCGCGGCCACACGGCGCACGCCGTGCGCGCGGGCCGCGCTCGGCCCTCGGGTGATCGCGGCGCGATTGTGGAGGGCGATACGGGGGGTGCGCGCTGGAGGACGTCGCTCGCGCGTGGGCGGAGGGTTGGGCAGAGGCCCGTCGCTAGGGCGTCGGGATCAAGTGAACAAGCCCGCAGGGGGGCAGAGGATTCTGTGGAAGTGTTCGGACGCACCGTTCGCGGAGGCAGATGAGCGGGTCTCCGACGGGTGCGAGGTCGACGAGCGTTTGCGGCGTTCATTTCGGCCGGGACTACGGCCGCCGCGAGTGACTGCCCATGCGGCGCGCAGGCGAGCGGGAGGGCGTGGTGGGGGATGAGGCGGCGGGGAACGTGGTCAACGTGGCTGTCAAGGCAGAGAGCGAGGGCGTCAGCGTGCCAGCGTGCATGACGTACGCGCCAAACCCTGCGCTAGGGGTCTGCGATCGGCGATCAGAGCAGGCAAACTGGGATGCCGGACAGGCAATATCCACGTGGCCCTCCCCGCTCCCCGCTCCACCCCCAACGTCGACCCGTCCTCGCCCGCACCCACTTCGCCCCCCTCAGTGCGCAAGTAGAGTACTCTGCGCAAGGTATCCACCGCCAGAGTCTTTCTGCCAGCTTGGGCCCCCTTCGTCTCCCCCTTCGACCCTGCGCTTCCACCGGCCTCCTCTGCGCACTAGAACCCCGGAGCACATGCCCCGCGAACCTCAGTCCACGCTCTCCGGCGTTCCAGCCCTCGCCCGACCGCTCGTCCTCCTCCGCCTCGGAGTACGCTCTCGCGCCCAACAAGAGGTCACGGTGTCCGCACTGGCCACTACCAGTACTGTCGCGGAGTCCCATCGGTGGGGCATCGGCGGAACATGCACTCGAGCCAAGCGCTGCCATTTCCAAGGCTGCTGCACACCGTGCGCGTGAAGGACGATCGGCGCGGAGGCACGCCTTGCAACGTGAGTGTTTCTATGTGAACCCCAATGCTCGTGTTCTGCGCGTGGGCGCCGTCCTTCGCTGTCGCGTCAAACTGCGTGGACGCTACGCGGCAGGGAAGGACGGGCTTTACGGGTCGTGTACGGAGGTAACGGCCGTGCATGTGCACAGAACGGAGAAGACGGGGCGAGGTGCAGGGGAGCCAGTCTCGTACGACCCCGCGAGCTTCTCCTGCCTCGACTTTGCCTCGTTTCCGGTAGTTGACGTGGACTTGGTCGCTCGAGAGGCGCGGTCTGACTTCTTTCCCTTGTGATGCCCGGACGGCCCTACTTCATGACGAGGAGGGCCCTGCAGGTCTTCACCTGTCTCTTACTAGTTGCGGCAATGAAAACATATCCGACGTCCACTAGAGTTGTGCTTTCGCCATTTAGTGCACCGCAGGTGTTCGCGATCGCAAGACGTCACTCACCGCAGCTCGGCGCGACGGCGGGGCCGATGACCGCAAGGGTATGTTTCTGCCGTGAAGTCGAGCCTTCGTCCACGTCTATCTGTGCACGAAGTCTGTCTTCAGCCTTCGCATGCTTCCCGGCCGCAATCAATGTCGCGCGACTTAAGATACGCGGCCGAGTGGGTGCTTCTTCCTCCTATTTTTACTTTCGAATGCTTACATACTACAGGTCATCGAACACGCGCATACA